GTACGGAACCCTAAAAACTCAGAAAAATATAAAGAAGTACATCACCCGTAACATCACAGAACCCAAGTTTCGACTATGCTGAAGATGAATCGATTGAAGAGTTTAAAGCATCAAGATCATGAGTCTAACTCCTCGAGCACCAGATTACACTACCGTCTGCTCGCTGGCCGTCTGCTGGACCTCCCCAGTGGGTCTCATCCGGCAGGCTTGTACCGCGCTGAGGACGGTGTTGTGTTGCGTCGAGGAGTACAGAGCAAACAAGGGACCATCAGATAGAACCTGATAAGAAGAAACTCTGAAAAATATCCGGCACTATATCTCACGAAGATCACAAGATTCTGCTGTGCTGAAGATGATGTTATGTTGCATTGAAGAAGATAAAACCTGTTAACTGCGCCAAGAATGACAATAAAAAAGCATCAAGGTTATCAGTTAAGAAGCCATGACAATGGAACCACTCATCCTACTATAACTACAGATGGAAGATCGACGCAGCTACAACAATCTAATTTTACAACTGGCTCCTGGAAGACTGGCCTTAATCAACGCCGAAAACGAATATCACAGTTACCAAGACCACAAGATTGGGAAGGATCTACCAACCCAAAGGCTACTATCGAAGAAGAATAGAAGAATCTCCCACACTACCTCGAAGTTTACAAGTTTCTTAGAAAAACTCAGAAAAATATAAAGAAGTACAACACCCGTAACATCACAAAACACAAGTTTCGACTATGCTGAAGATGAATCGATTGAAGAGTTTAAAGCATCAAGATTATGAGTCTAACTCCTCAGCACCAGATTACACTACCGTCTGCTCGCTGGCCGTCTGCTGGACCTCCCCAGTGGGTCTCATCCGGCAGGCTTGTACCGCGCTGAGGACGGTGTTGTGTTGCGTCGAGGAGTACAGAGCAAACAAGGGACCGTCAGATACAACCTGATAAGAAGAAACTCTGAAAAATATCCGGCACCATATCTCTCGAAGATCACAAATTTCTACTGTGCTGAAGATAATGTTATGTTGCATTGAAGAGGATAAAACCTGTAAACTGCGCCAAGAATGACAATAAAAAAAGCATTAAGGTTATCAGTTAAGAAGCCATGACAATGAAACCACTCATCCTACTATAACTACAGATGGAAGATCGACGCAGCTACAACAATCTGATTTTACAAACTGGCTCCTGGAAGACTGGCCTTTAATCAACGCCGAAAACGTATAGCACAGTTACCAAGACCACAAGATTGGGAAGGATCTACCAACCCCAAGGCTATCGAAGAAGAATAGAAGAATCTCCTACACTACCTCAAAGTTCACAAGTTTCTTAGAAAATCTCAGAGAAATATAAAGAAGTACATCACCCGTAACATCACAGAACACATTTTTCGACTGTGCTGAAGATGAATTGGTTGAAGAATTAAAAACATCAAGATCATGAGTCTAACTCCTCGAGCACCAGATTACACTACCGTCTGCTCGCTGGCCGTCTGCTGGACCTCCCCAGTGGGTCTCATCCGGCAGGCTTGTACCGCGCTGAGGACGGTGTTGTGTTGCGTCGAGGAGTACAGAGCAAACAAGGGACCGTCAGATACAACCTGATAAGAAGAAACTCTGAAAAATATCCAGCACCATATCTCTCGAAGATCACAAGTTTCTACTGTGCTGAAGATGATGTTATGTTGCATTGAAGAGTGATAAATTAAAGTCTTTATCGAGGAAATAAATGTGATGAAGTATTTGGCACCACCAAGTGATTGTGTTTCCATAGGTCCGCAAATATCAGAGTGGACCAGCTCAAGAACACTTGTAGCTTTGGAGCCCTCATGTTTAAAAGGTAGTCGTGTCTGTTTACCTTCTTTGCAAGTTAAACATGTCAACTTCTCTGGTTTTGCTGAGAGAACTACATCTTCAGTGTTGGATGTCATCTTCTTTAAACTGTAGAAGTTTAAGTGCCCCATCCGTTGATGCCATAAGTAATTATCTTGTTCTTCAACATCTGACATGCATGCATAGCCTTTTGGCATATTCAGCCGGTACATGTTGTTGATGAGACTTGCTGTGGCAACAATTTGGTTCTTGCTGTTTAAAATAGTGCAGCCAGTACTATTGAATTTCACTTGGCCACCACTTTTGAATATCTGGCTTACGGACAACAAATTGGTTGCCAGATCTGGGACATACAGTACATTGGTAAACAGTACTTTGTTTTCTTGTCCTTTATGATTGTAGACATCTAAGCTCACTTGTCCTGCACATGTTACAGTTAACATCTTATTATCTGCAGCTCTTATATTCTGAACACCGGGAACTGTTTGAGTCAGAAACAAGTTCTTGTGTTTTGTCATGTGAGCGGACGCACCGGAATCCACATACCATGCATCACCATAGTCTCTGGATGATGCCATGAACACAGCAGCATATGAAGACTTCGTAGAGTTCGTAGACTTCTGTGCATTTGGTTTGGATTTGCACTCGGGACTCTTGTGTCCATACTTGTTACATGTGTAACATCTAGGTCCCTTAGAGTTTGAGTCAGAAACAAGTTCTTGTGTTTTGTCATGTGAGCGGACGCACCGGAATCCACATACCATGCATTACCATAGTCTCTGGATGATGCCATGAACACAGCAGCATATGAAGACTTCGTAGAGTTCGTAGACTTCTGTGCATTTGGTTTGGATTTGCACTCGGGACTCTTGTGTCCATACTTGTTACATGTGTAACATCTAGGTCCCTTAGATTCTTTCTTGTGAAACTTCTTAAAATTTTTGTTCACAGCAAATGCTTCAGTATTACTTTCGGATTGCCTTACATCTTGTAATAACTTTGCTTTTATAGCATCGGAAGTTATCTTCATGCCGGAGCTTTCGATAGCTATGATCATAGGCTGATAAGACTGAGGAAGACCGGAGAGCAGCAGTGTTCCGAGCCACTCATCATCCACCTTGAAGCCTATGTTCCGGAACTTATTAGCTGTTGATATTATTTTACTCACGTACTCTTCTACGCTTTGACATGCACTGAGTGAGGTGTTACACAGATCACGCAGTAAGCCGACTCGACGTGTTAGCCCAGAGTCATCGAAGACAGAAGACAGTTTGTCCCACACTTCTTTTGCAGTCCAGAGGATAAAACCTGTTGACTGCGCCAAGAATGACAATAAAAAAAAGCATCAAGTTAATCAGTTTAGAAGCCATGACAATGAAACCACTCATTCTACTATAACCTCAGATGGAATATCGACGCAGCTACAACAATTTAATTTTACAAACTGGCTCCTGGAAGACTGGCCTTAATCAACGCCGAAAACGAATATCACAGTTAACAAGACCACAAGTTTGGGAAGGATCTACCAACCCCAAGGCTATCGAAGAAGAATAGAAGAATCTCCTACACTACCTCGAAGTTTACAAGTTTCTTAGAAAAACTCAGAGAAATATAAAAAAGTAGGTACATCACCTGTAACATCACAGAACACAAATTTCGACTGCGCTGAAGATGAATTGGTTGAAGAATTTAAAACAAGGGACCGTCAGATAGAACCTGATAAGAAGAAACTCTGAAAAATATCCGGCACCATATGTCTCGAAGATCATAAGTTTCTACTGTGCTGAAGATAATGTTATGTTGCATTGAAGAGGACAAAACCTGTAAACTGCGCCAAGAATGAAAAAGAAGCATCAAGTTTATCAGTTAAGAAGCCATGACAATGAAACCACTCATTCTACTATAACCTCAGATGGAATATCGACGCAGCTACAACAATCTACTTTTACAAACTGGCTCCTGGAAGACTGGCCTTAATCAAAGCCGAAAACGAATATCACAGTTAACAAGACCACAAGATTGGAAACGATCTACCAACCCCAAGGCTATCGAAGAAGAATAGAAGAATCTACCTACACTACCTCGAAGTTTAGAAGTTTCTTAGAAAAACTCAGAAAAATATAAAGAAATACATCACCCGTAATATCACAAAACACAAGTTTCAACTGTGCTGAAGATGAATCGATTGAAGAGTTAAAAGCATCAAGATCATGAGTCTAACTCCTCGAGCACCAGATTACACTACCGTCTGCTCGCTGGCCGTCTGCTGGACCTCCCCAGTGGGTCTCATCCGGCAGGCTTGTGCCGCGCTGAGGACGGTGTTGTGTTGCGTCGAGGAGTACAGAGCAAACAAGGGACCGTCAGATAGAACCTGATAAGAAGAAACTCTGAAAAATATCCGGCACCATATCTCACGAAGATCACAAGTTTCTACTGTGCTGAAGATGATGTTATGTTGCATTGAAGAGAATAAAACCTGTAAACTGCGCCAAGAAAGACAATAAAAAATATAGAGCACCAAGGTTATCAGTTAAGAAGCCATGACAATGAAACCACTCATTCTACTTTAACCTCAGATGGAATATCGACGCAGCTACAACAATCTACTTTCACAAACTGGCTCCTGGAAGACTGGCCTTAATCAACGCCGAAAACGAATATCACAGTTAACAAGACCACAAGATTGGGAACGATCTACCAACCCAAAGGCTATCGAAGAAGAATAGAAGAATCTCCTACTCTACCTCGAAGTTTACAAGTTTAAAAAAAATCTCAGAGAATTATAAAGAAGTACGAGTATATCACCCATAATATCACAGAACACAAGTTTCGAAAACTCAGAGAAATATCAAGAAGTAGGTATATCACCTGTAACATCACAGAACACAAATTTCGACTGCGCTGAAGATGAATTGGTTGAAGAATTTAAAACATCAAGATTATGAGTCTAACTCCTCGAGCACCAGATTACACTACTACTACCAGATAAAATCAAGTTTCTACTGTATTGAAGATGATGTAATGACTCCATAGAGCGTCTCATTGTGCAGGGAAAAGTTGAAGGCACCAGACCACATGGCACATCACCGATGAGATGGAAAGACCAGATCAAGGCCATAACTAAATGCTCAGTTAACAAATCTATCCGGAAAGCTGCGGTCTGTCTAGTAGTCTAGTATTTTCCATACGTGCAGCGAAGCAAACAATTCAAGAGTGCAAGGATGCAAGAACAAAGATTGAAGACAATTGGGAAATGAAAACGTGAAATGACACAGTAAATCACAGCGAGTTTAAACTGCTTAGATCGGAGTCAGCAAAGCACCTGACACAATGCAGTATAGAAATATTGTCGACCATAGGTAGGACATCTCACAAAAGGGCGATTGAAACTGAAAAGGAGCAAACTAAAGTCGTTGAAGACTTGCCAAGAAGATTTACTGACGTCACTACGTACAACAGATGTAAAAGGTTTAAGACACTACTAGCTGACTATCTTCATAATATGCTTCAATGCCCACTCTTTCCTATGAGTGAGGTCACTACAAGTCACTGGAGAACCATCCATCGCCCACAAAAGGGCGATTGAAACTGAAAAGAAACCTTGGGAGCAAGCTAAGGTCGTTGAAGACTGGCCAAGAAGATTCAGTGACGTCACTACGTACAACACATGGAAAAGACTTAAGACACTACGAGCTGAATATCTTCTATAATATGCTCCAATGTCCACTCTTTCCTATGAGTGGGGTTTTTCTGTATTCTGAGGAGTAAGGTCACTACAACTCACTGGAGACCATCCATCGCCCACAAAAGGGCGATTGAAACTGAAAAGAAACCTTGGGAGCAAGCTAAAGTCGTTGAAGACTGGCCAAGAAGATTCAGTGACGTCACTCCGTACAACAGATGGAAAAGTTTTAAGAAACTATGCTGAATCTTGTCTTCATAATATGCTCCAATGCCCACTCTTTCCTCTGAGTGAGGTTTTTCTGTATTCTGAGGAGTGAGGTCACTACAACTCACTGGAGAACCATCCATCGCCCACAAAAGGGCGATTGAAACTGAAAAGAAACCTTGGGAGCAAGCTAAAGTCGTTGAAGACTGGCCAAGAAGATTCAGTGACGTCACTCCGTACAACAGATGGAAAAGTTTTAAGAAACTATGCTGAATCTTGTCTCCATAATATGCTCCAATGCCCACTCTTTCCTATGAGTGAGGTTTTTCTGTATTCTGAGGAGTGAGGTCACTACAACTCACTGGAGAACCATCCATCGCCCACAAAAGGGCGATTGAAACTGAAAAGAAACCTTGGGAGCAAGCTAAGGTCGTTGAAGACTGGCCAAGAAGATTCAGTGACGTCACTACGTACAACAGATGAAAAAGGCTTAAGACACTATGAGCTGAATATCTTCTATAATATGTTCCAATGTCCACTCTTTCCTATAAGTGAGGTTTTTCTGTATTCTGATGAGTGAGGTCACTACAACTCACTGGAGACCATCCATCGCCCACAAAAGGGCGATTGAAACTGAAAAGAAACCTTGGGAGCAAGCTAAAGTCGTTGAAGACTGGCCAAGAAGATTCAGTGACGTCACTACGTACAACAGATGAAAAAGGCTTAAGACACTACGAGCTGAATATCTTCTATAATATGTTCCAATGTCCACTCTTTCCTATAAGTGAGGTTTTTCTGTATTCTGATGAGTGAGGTCACTACAACTCACTGGAGACCATCCATCGCCCACAAAAGGGCGATTGAAACTGAAAAGAAACCTTGGGAGCAAGCTAAAGTCGTTGAAGACTGGCCAAGAAGATTCAGTGACGTCACTACGTACAACAGATGAAAAAGGCTTAAGACACTACGAGCTGAATATCTTCTATAATATGTTCCAATGTCCACTCTTTCCTATAAGTGAGGTTTTTCTGTATTCTGATGAGTGAGGTCACTACAACTCACTGGAGACCATCCATCGCCCACAAAAGGGCGATTGAAACTGAAAAGAAACCTTGGGAGCAAGCTAAAGTCGTTGAAGACTGGCCAAGAAGATTCAGTGACGTCACTACGTACAACAGATGAAAAAGGCTTAAGACACTACGAGCTGAATATCTTCTATAATATGTTCCAATGTCCACTCTTTCCTATAAGTGAGGTTTTTCTGTATTCTGATGAGTGAGGTCACTACAACTCACTGGAGACCATCCATCGCCCACAAAAGGGCGATTGAAACTGAAAAGAAACCTTGGGAGCAAGCTAAAGTCGTTGAAGACTGGCCAAGAAGATTCAGTGACGTCACTACGTACAACAGATGAAAAAGGCTTAAGACACTACGAGCTGAATATCTTCTATAATATGTTCCAATGTCCACTCTTTCCTATAAGTGAGGTTTTTCTGTATTCTGATGAGTGAGGTCACTACAACTCACTGGAGACCATCCATCGCCCACAAAAGGGCGATTGAAACTGAAAAGAAACCTTGGGAGCAAGCTAAAGTCGTTGAAGACTGGCCAAGAAGATTCAGTGACGTCACTACGTACAACAGATGAAAAAGGCTTAAGACACTACAAGCTGAATATCTTCTATAATATGCTCCAATGTCCACTCTTTCCTATGAGTGAGGTTTTTCTGTATTCTGAGGAGTGAGGTCACTACAACTCACTGGAGACCATCCATCGCCCACAAAAGGGCGATTGAAACTGAAAAGAAACCTTGGGAGCAAGCTAAAGTCGTTGAGGACTTGCCAAGAAGATTCAGTGACACAATAGACGTCACTATTATAACTTCAACCTACCAAAGTCACAGATCTTCAGTGCGCAAGTCTGCCTATATCAAATGTTAGCAAAGTACGACTCATTTACTTTTATCCTGAAGAGCGAAGGAAACAATGCAAGGGTGCAACAAAAAGTACAGAGCATCAAGATTATTAGTCAAGAAGCCATGATAATGGAACCACTCATCCCACTGTAACAGATGGAAGATCGACACAGCTGCAACAACCTACTTTAACAAACTGGTCTTAATCGGCGCCGAAAGGGAACAGCACAGTTACCACAAGATTGGGAAGGATTTATCTACCAACCCAAAGGCCACTATCGAAGAAGAATAGAAGAATCTCCCACACTACCTCGAAGTTTACAAGTTAAAAAAAATCTCAGAGAATTACAAAGAAGTATATCACCCATAATATCACAGAACACAAGTTTCGACTGCGCTGAAGATGAACTGGGTGAAGAGTTTAAAGCATCAAGATTATGAGTCTAACTCCTCGAGGACCAGATTACACTACTACTAATAGATAGAATCAAGTTTCTACTGTATTGAAGATGATGTAATGACTCCATAGAGCGTCTCATTGTGCAGGGAAAAGTTGAAGGCACCCGACCACATGGCACATCACCGATGAGATGGACAGACCAGATCAAGGCCATAACTAAATGCTCAGTTAGCAAATGTATCCGGAAAGCTGCGGTCTGTCTAGTAGTCTAGTATTTTCCATACGTGCAGCGAAGCAAACAATTCAAGAGTGCAAGGATGCAAGAACAAAGATTGAAGACAATTGGGAAATGAAAACGTGAAATGACACAGTAAATCACAGCGAGTTTAAACTGCTTAAATCGGAGTCAGCAAAGCACCTGACACAATGCAGTAAAGAAATATTGTCGACCATAGGACATCCCACAAAAGGGCGATTGAAACTGAAAAGGAGCAAACTAAAGTCGTTGAAGACTTGCCAAGAAGATTCACTGACGTCACTACGTACAACAGAAGTAAAAGGTTTAAGACACTACTAGCTGACTATCTTCATAATATGCTTCAATGCCCACTCTTTCCTATGAGTGAGGTCACTACAAGTCACTGGAGAACCATCCATCGCCCACAAAAGGGCGATTGAAACTGAAAAGAAACCTTGGGAGCAAGCTAAGGTCGTTGAAGACTGGCCAAGAAGATTCAGTGACGTCACTACGTACAACACATGGAAAAGACTTAAGACACTACGAGCTGAATATCTTCTATAATATGCTCCAATGTCCACTCTTTCCTATGAGTGAGGTTTTTCTGTATTCTGAGGAGTGAGGTCACTACAACTCACTGGAGACCATCCATCGCCCACAAAAGGGCGATTGAAACTGAAAAGAAACCTTGGGAGCAAGCTAAGGTCGTTGAAGACTGGCCAAGAAGATTCAGTGACGTCACTACGTGCAACAGATGGAAAAGTTTTAAGAAACTATGCTGAATCTTATTTTCATAATATGCTCCAATGCCCACTCTTTCCTATGAGTGAGGTTTTTCTGTATTCGGAGGAGTGAGGTCACTACAACTCACTGGAGACCATCCATCGCCCACAAAAGGGCGATTGAAACTAAAAGGAAACCTTGGGAGCAAGCTAAAGTCGTTGAAGACTGGCCAAGAAGATTCAGTGACGTCACTCCGTACAACAGATGGAAAAGTTTTAAGAAACTATGCTGATTCTTATTTTCATAATATGCTCCAATGCCCACTCTTTCCTATGAGTGAGGTTTTTCTGTATTCTGAGGAGTGAGGTCACAACAACTCACTGGAGAACCATCCATCGCCCACGAAAGGGCGATTGAAACTGAAAAGAAACCTTGGGAGCAAGCTAAAGTCGTTGAAGACTGGCCAAGAAGATTCAGTGACGTCACTCCGTACAACAGATGGAAAAGTTTTAAGAAACTATGCTAAATCTTATTTTCATAATATGCTCCAATGCCCACTCTTTCCTATGAGTGAGGTTTTTCTGTATTCTGAGGAGTGAGGTCACTACAACTCACTGGAGAACCATCCATCGCCCACAAAAGGGCGATTGAAACTGAAAAGAAACCTTGGGAGCGAGCTAAAGTCGTTGAAGACTGGCCAAGAAGATTCAGTGACACAATAGACGTCCCTGTTATAACTTCAGTGCGCAAGACATTTAATGTAAGCAAAGTACGACTCAACTTTTATCCTGAAGAGTGAAGCAAACAATGCAAGTGTGCAAGAACAAAACTTGAAGACAATTGCCACCAAGAAATCGAAGTGGATCACCATAATAGAAGAAAGTTGCTACAGAAACGAGCTAACTCAAGAATCTTGGACACCTCTTTTCTCTTCCATTCCTTGAGAGGTGCCCTGAATCACGAAGACGAGCCAGACAAAGCAGCCAATCCACGAGGACAGCAACAGCCGCAACGACAGCATCATTATGAGGTGAGCCTTAACTACATGTCTTTTCGTTAACTGAATCAGAATCAGTTTCATCATTTATTAGCTTCAATTTGTGGTACAGACGATGGATACAGATAGTGGATAGGTGTCACAATTATTGTCATTTCGGACATTCAAGTATTAAATTAATTAACTGTCAACGCCTTGTTAATTAATCAAAACTAACGGTCAATCTACATAATATAGATATCATTTTGCCTCTAGAATTAGTTTGTGTAGAGAGATGAACAGACACTGCAATTTGATAGCAAATCCCTAAACTCTATTAATTTTTTGAGCGTTTCAATCGTTTCAATAAATAATATAAATATTTTTGTCTTTTTTTCCAGGTCATTTTTACTACGACGGGCATGCAGCGGCTGAGGCGTATTACATGCAAAATTCAGAGATGAGACTATCTACCCACAAGAGTTGACAAGTGTCGTTAATTCAGTCACGCACTACATATTGTGCGCTGAATATCTTCATAATACTCTTTCAACTGAGTAAGGTCACTACAACTCACCGGATAACCATCTGTCGCCGACAAAAGGTCTGATACAAAGCAAGGTGGGAAATGGCACAGTAAATCACAGCGAGCTTAAACTGCCTAGATCGTGGTCAGCAAAGCACCTGACACAATGCAGTAAAGAAATATTGTCGACCATAGGACATCCCATAAAAGGGCGATTAAAACTGAAAAAGAACAAGCTAAAGTCATTGAAGACTTGCCCAGAAGATTCAGTGACGTCACCACCTACAACAGATGGAAAAGGTTTAAGACACTACTAGCTGAATATCTTCATAATATACTTCAATGCCCACTCTTTCCTATGAGTGAGGTCACTACAGCTCACTGGAGAACCATCCATCGCCCACAAAAGGGCGATTGAAACTGAAAAGGAGCAAGCTAAAGTCATTGAAGACTTGCCCAGAAGAATCAGTGACGTCACCACCTACAACAGATGGAAAAGGTTTATGACACAACACGCTGATTATATCTTCACAATATGCTTCAATGTCCACTCTTTCCTATGAGTAAGGTCACTACAACTCACTGGAGAACCATCCATCGCCCACAAAAGGGCGATTGGAACTACGCTATGTCCTATGGCTGAAATGATGATGATATTGATAAAGAAACAAGGGTAGAGGCGTAGAGGATTCATTGTGCTGAACTGCCTTTAGCATGGGTCAACCTGAGGGTTCAAGTACAAGACGTCATCAACACACACATCATCTGGAAGTATTTTCGACCACGAAACATTGACTGCTGACAACGATTTGTCATCAACAACACCAAGAAGCATTTCATAATTATAAACCGACATGCAGAAATTATGGAAGATGGTGATATTACTGAGAAGATAGAAATCAAAATTGGTTAATGATGAAGAAAAAGGTCAACCTAGTAAATCTATATTTTTCTAGCATGCTTCACGTCATGTTATAAGACAAGAAATGCAACTCATTTTGTGAAGTACTAATTAATGCATTTTAATACTTTGCCATTCAAAAGTGTCATTAATATCAGAAAGGGCTTATTATGTATTGACACATAATAGTGACTGAGTTTCTATTCCGCTTCTTCTTCTCAACACTATTCCATTTATTGTCCCGAAGTAGAAGTAGGTGTTGTAGTTTTGTGAATCTCTGATACCTAGGTACTATTTGTTATCTCGAAGTAGTGATAGGGCAAGCTATATTTGTAACGTTTATTTGAATTTACGTACCTTTACTCAATGTATGTGTACTCTACAATCAATAGTTTGTAGTTTCGTCTTTAGTTTATATAAAGCATAACAATAACAGATCAAATGGATATTCATCTTATTAATACTTTAAAATAGCCTTTAAATTACATCAGCCCAAAATTATGAAATAAATTAGTTTTTAATAAGGATGTACACTTCACATACTATTAGAAGTTATAATCTATAATTATATATATGTATATCTATAATGCAGGTATGCATTTGTTAGTATTTGAATAATAAAGTTATTCCATGATCATTAATAAAAATCGTCATCCAAGAAACAACATTGTCATAACTCAAAAAGTAGCGGTATTTTCGTAATATGAATGTGACATAGATTTTAAGCTGCCAAGTGTGCGGTCTGCAAAGCCTGCAAAAATCTATGCTGCACTGGTGAATGTCAACCCAGACTCAAGTCTCAGAACATCAGTTGTTCAGTCTGCTCTTCATAATTGGTGAGTCAGTAGCTACGTAATTTGTAACCTGTAGCAATGAATATTATAATCCATATTCTATATTATATAGTGAATGTATAAAGATAAACTGAAGTTAATTTAATCATAATTTTGAAACACAAATTCGTTGTTACTGGTTAAATTGAGTAATTTTACTTTCTCCAATAATGTTACGTTGGTTATTTGGTTACACTTTTGGTCAAATATCTATTTTCAGGGCTTTTATTCATTTATTTGATATTTGAATATTATCGTTCAATCGCCTGTCAAAGCTTATATAACATCTCTGTTACTATTTAACAAATCAAGGACTGCCCCTGTCTATTCGTTTGAAAACCCTAAAGCTCGATTCACACATATTAGTGAAGCCACAGTTCCGTCACAGTGTCCGCTCAGTTCAGTATCAGTTGCGTCAGTGAAATATTTTGAATATTTTAAAATGTCAGAGAGTTGTTTCAATATTCTTGTTCAGAGACTATGAAGTAAGTTATTTTGTTTTTGATGCCGCGGCGGCGTCCGTGATCCGACAAAAAATACGTCCGTGATTGCTGGTGTCGGCACTGACACTGAAAGCACTGTGTCGTCACTGACACTGACAAGTGGGGATGCGTTTATAGAAACTGTATGAGAAAGAATATTTCGCACTGTGCCGGTACTGAGCCTGAACTGTGACTTCAATAGAGCTTCTGATTCATTTCCTTGCCTCCGTCGTTTCCGTTGGATAGAAGCGCTTTCATAGCCTCTTAGGCCTCAGCCTCGAATTTAGCGGGCAGCGGAGCGGGAGCGGTGGCGGCGCGGGAGCGGGGCGGGCAACGCAGACCCGTTCTCGAAACAAGCGGGAAGCTCGCGCGGCGCTTTAGCGGCGAAGTGTTGTGTTCGGGGTTGTGTTGTCGAGATATTTGTTTTTATTCGCAAACGAAATGTCTGAACAACGGCGAAAATTTTATTTCGATTCAAATGTATTCCTAACGCTCGATTTAATGTGGGCAAAAGAAGGAGTGCGCTGCCCGCTCGTTGCCCGCTCCCGCGCCGCTGTTTTCGATAACCGGTCTATTTGATTTTACGTATAAGATCCTGCCGCTCCCGCGCCGCTACCGCCTCCGCCCCGCTGCCCGCTAAATTCGAGGCTGAGGCCTGAAACTCGCGGCTCGTCTCTTGAGGAAGTTAAATTTCCTTCTGTCTATCTGTTTATAGAGGCGCTATCAAAGCTTCAAAGCTCGCGGCTCGTACATTTCAAAGTCAAAATTTGACTATTCAAATAATACTTACAAATCATCAAATGTTTTAAGAAAAAAACACTGATAAAAAACCTTAAAGTTTTGCTCTTAGCGAGCCTTTACATGACTTATAAACTTTCCGTTTTACAGAGGCGCTTTCAAATTGAAATTGAATTTGTTAATGAAAGTAGTGAAGAAAACACTTCTCCAAAATATTATGCGATAAAATCTTTGAATACGATTATTCTAAGACTGGGTTTTTTGATTGCCCAAGGGTCATAAGTGATTGAAAGTGAGTCGTGTTCATTAAGTCGTTGCTGCTGCATTGTGATGTGGACAATGCGATCTTGACATTATGGCACCATTATGCTCACTTTGAGCTCATTCTGACCCATTCTGCGAATGGGCGAGCTAAGCATTCTTGCATTTGGTCGCTAAAGTGTTTCACAATAGTCCTTCGTGGGCTGCTGCATATAATGAATATGTTCATAAGGCGTTTCGTGGGCCGTATTTTCCCTGCACCTGACGTAGGTGAGGTTTCGTCTCGTACATTGTTTTCTGTATTTTCTATAATATTCTTTTTTTATATTTCTTAATATTATGGGTGTTGTTCATTTTTATATAAAAATGTTTGACACCTATCTTTAATCGGATAATAATGTTAAAGATTGGTGTGTAGTGATATAATTATAAAAAAATATTTCAAGTAACAAAGTCAAGGCCAAGTAAGGTGGCCCATTAGCGCCGAGCCTTATTGTCCGCGAATGGGCGAGCTAAGCATTCTTGCATTTGGTCGCTAAAGTGTCACTTATTTAAGTAATGAAATGACGTCATCAAACTATGCATAGTGTTTATGAAGTCGCGGGTGCTGCACTGTGATGAAGACTGTGCGATCTTGACAATAAGGCGCCATTATGCTCGCTCTGAGCTCATTCTGACCCATTCCGCGAATGGGCGAGCTAAGCATTCTTGCATTTGGTCGCTAAAGTGTCACTCATTTTATTTATGAAATGACGTCATCAAACTATGCATAGTGTTTATTAAGTCGCGGGTGCTGCACTGTGATGCAGACTGTGCGATCTTGACAATAAGGCGCCATTATGCTCGCTTTGAGCTCATTCTGACCCATTCCGCGAATGGGCGAGCTAAGCATTCTTGCATTTGGTTGCCAAAGTGTCACTCATTAATTTGATGAAAGTATGAAGTCATCAAACTATTTTTATTATAAAAAACACTGCTAAAACACCTTAAAGTTTTGCTCTTAAGGAGCCTTTACATGTCTAACAATCTATTTCTTTAATCGAATAATAATGTTAAACACCTGGGTATAGTGATATAAATTATAAAAAGTATTTCAAGTAACAAAGTCAAGGCCAAGTAAGGTGGCCCATTAGCGCCGAGCCTTATTGTCCGCAAATGGGCGAGCTAAGCATTCTTGCATTTGGTCACTAAAGTGTCACTCATTTTATTTATGACAATAAGGCGCCATTATGCTCGCTTTGAGCTCATTCTGACCCATTCCGCGAATGGGCGAGCTAAGCATTCTTGCATTTGGTTGCCGAGGTGTCACTCATTTAATTGATGAAATTATGAAGTTATCAAACTTTTTTTATTATAAAAAAAACACTGATAAAACACCTTAAAGTTTTGCTCTTAAGGAGCCTTTACATGTCTAACAATCTATTTCTTTAATCGGATAATTATATTAAACACCTGGGTGTAGTGATAAAAATTATAAAAAGTATTTCAACTTTCAAGTAACAAAGTCAAGGCCAAGTAAGGCGGCCCATTAGCGCCGAGCCTTATTGTCCGCGAATGGGCGAGCTAAGCATTCTTGCATTTGGTCGCTAAAGTGTCTCTCATTTTATTTATGAAATGACGTCATCAAACTATGCATAGTGTTTATTAAGTCGCGGGTGTCGCATTGTAATGCAGACTGTGCGATCTTGACAATGAGGCACCATTATGCTCGCTTTGAGCTCATTCTGACCCATTCCGCGAATGGGCGAGCTAAGCATTCTTGCATTTGGTCGCTAAAGTGTCACTTATTTAAGTAATGAAATGACGTCATCAAACTATGCATAGTGTTTATTAAGTCGCGGTTGTCGCTTTGTAATGCAGACTGTGCGATCTTGACAATGAGGCGCCATTATGCTCGCTTTGAGCTCATTCTGACCCATTCCGCGAATGGGCGAGCTAAGCATTCTTGCATTTGGTTGCCAAAGTGTCACTCATTTTAATTGATGAAATTATGAAGTCATCAAACTATTTTTATTGCAAAAAGCACTGATAAAACACCTTAAAATTTTGCTCTTAAGGAGCCTTTACATGTCTTACAATCTTTTTACTATGTATGTTGTCTGTTTCGCATTTATCACACAGAAAATTGGTCGTTGTTGCGCGGCCGAAGCCGCGAGGAAGTGATGGCTCAAGTTGGAATTATTCGCTGATGAATTATTATCTGTTATAATATTTGGTCCCATTGTTGGACTTGACACTAAGGCGCCATTATGCTCGCTTTGAGCTCGTTCTGACCCATTCCGCGAATGGGCGAGCTAAGCATTCTTGCATTTGGTCGCTAAAGTGTCACTCATTTTATTGACGAAATAACGTCATCAAACTATGCATAGTGTTTATTAAGTCGCGGGTATCGCATTATAATGCAGACTGTGCAATCTTGACAATGAGGCGCCATTATGCTCGCTTTGAGCTCATTCTGACCCATTCCGCGAATGGGCGAGCTAAGCATTCTCGCATTTGGTTGCCAAAGTGTCACTCATTTAATTGATGAAATAATGAAGTCATCAAACTATTTTTATTATAAAAAAACACTGATAAAACACCTTAAAGTTTTGCTCTTAAGGAGCCTTTACATGTCTAACAATCTTTTTCTTTAATCGGATAATTATATTGAACACCTGGGTGTAATGGTATAAATTATAAAAAAAATATCAAGTAACAAAGTCAAGGCCAAGTAAGGTGGCCCATTAGCGCCGAGCCTTTTTGTCTGCGAATGGGCGAGCTAAGCATTCTTGCATTTGGTCGCTAAAGTGTCACTCATTTTATTGATGAAATGACGTCATTAAACTATGCATAGTGTTTATTAAGTCGCGGGTATCGCATTATAATGCAAACTGTGCGATCTTGACAATGAGGCACCATTATGCTCGCTTTGAGCTCATTCTGACCCATTCCGCGAATGGGCGAGCTAAGCATTCTCGCATTTGGTTGCCAAAGTGTCACTCATTTAATTGATGAAATTATGAAGTCATCAAACTATTTTTATTATAAAAAAACACTGATAAAACACCTTAAAGTTTTGCTCTTAAGGAGCCTTTACATGTCTAACAATCTTTTTCTTTAATCGGATAATTATATTAAAGACCTGGGTGTAATGGTATAAATTATAAAAAAATATTTCAAGTAACAAAGTCAAGGCCAAGTAAGGTGGCCCATTAGCGCCGAGCCTTATTGTCCGCGAATGGGCGAGCTAAGCATTCTTGCATTTGGTCGCTAAAGTGTCACTCATTTTATTGATGAAATGACGTCATTAAACTATGCATAGTGTTTATTAAGTCGCGGGTATCGCATTATAATGCAAACTGTGCGATCTTGACAATGAGGCACCATTATGCTCGCTTTGAGCTCATTCTGACCCATTCCGCGAATGGGCGAGCTAAGCATTCTCGCATTTGGTCGCTAAAGTGTCACTTATTTAATTGATGAAATGACGTCATCAAACTATGCATAGTGTTTATTAAGTCGCGGGTATCGCATTATAATGCAGACTGTTCAATCTTGACAATGAGGCGCCATTATGCTCGCTTTGAGCTCATTCTGACCCATTCCGCGAATGGGCGAGCTAAGCATTCTTGCATTTGGTTGCCGAGGTGTCACCCATTTAATTGATGAAATTATGAAGTCATCAAACTTTTTTTATTATAAAAAACACTGATAAAATACCTTAAAGTTTTGCTCTTAAGGAGCCTTTACATGTCTTACAATCTTTTTGCTATGTTACTTATGTATTCTGTCTCACATTTATCGTGTGAGCTAAGAATAAATGCAACTTAGGATCAAGTTGCAATATTTTGTGCTGTATTATTATCTTACATTCTTGTTACTATTATTGATGCTTTTCGGTCTTGCTTGTGGACATTTCGATATAATGTCCAATTTCCAAGATTTCGATAACTACTACATTCGCCATTATGCTCGCTTTGAGCTCGTTCTGACCCATTCCGCGAATGGGCGAGCTAAGCATTCTTGCATTTGGTTGCCGAGGTGTCACTCATTTAATTGATGAAATTTTGAAGTCATCAAACTTTTTTTATTATAAAAAAACATTGATAAAACACCTTAAAGTTTTGCTCTTAAGGAGCCTTTACATGTCTAACAATCTATTTCTTTAATCGGACAATTATGTTAAAGACCTGGGTGTAATGGTATAAATTATAAAAAAATATTTCAAGTAACAAAGTCAAGGCCAAGTAAGGTGGCCCATTAGCGCCGAGCCTTATTGTCCGCGAATGGGCGAGCTAAGCATTCTTGCATTTGGTCGCTAAAGTGTCACTCATTTTATTGATGAAATGACGTCATCAAACTATGCATAGTGTTTATTAAGTCGCGGGTATCGCATTATAATGCAAACTGTGTGATCTTGACAATGAGGCACCATTATGCTCGCTTTGAGCTCATTCTGACCCATTCCGCGAATGGGCGAGCTAAGCATTCTCGCATTTGGTCGCTAAAGTGTCACTTATTTAATTGATGAAATGACGCCATCAAACTATGCATAGTGTTTATTAAGTCGCGGGTATCGCATTATAATGCAGACTGTTCAATCTTGACAATGAGGCGCCATTATGCTCGCTTTGAGCTCATTCTGACCCATTCCGCGAATGGGCGAGCTAAGCATTCTTGCATTTGGTTGCCAAAGTGTCACTCATTTAACTGATGAAATTATGAAGTCATCAAACTATTTTTATTATAAAAACACTGATAAAACACCTTAAAGTTTTGCTCTTAAGGAGCCTTTACATGTCTTACAATCTTTTTGCTATGTTACTTATGTATTCTGTCTCACATTTATCGTGTGAGCTAAGAATAAATGCAACTTAGGATCAAGTTGCAATATTTTGTGCTGTATTATTATCTTACATTCTTGTTACTATTATTGATGCTTTTCGGTCTTGCTTGTGGACATTTCGATATAATGTCCAATTTCCAAGATTTCGATAACTACTACATTCGCCATTATGCTCGCTTTGAGCTCGTTCTGACCCATTCCGCGAATGGGCGAGCTAAGCATTCTTGCATTTGGTCGCTAAAGTGTCACTTATTTAAGTAATGAAATGACGTCATCAAACTATGTTTATTAAGTCGCGGGTGCTGCACTGTGATGCAGACTGTGCGATCTTGACAATGAGGCGCCATTATGCTCGCTTTGAGCTCATTCTGACCCATTCCGCGAATGGGCGAGCTAAGCATTCTTGCATTTGGTTGCCCAGGTGTCACTCATTTAATTGATGAAATTATGAAGTCATCAAACTTTTTTTATTATAAAAAAACACTGATAAAACACCTTAAAGTTTTGCTCTTAAGGAGCCTTTACATGTCTAACAATCTATTTCTTTAATCGGATAATTATATTAAACACCTGGGTGTAGTGATAAAAATTATAAAAAGTATTTCAACTTTCAAGTAACAAAGTCAAGGCCAAGTAAGGCGGCCCATTAGCGCCGAGCCTTATTGTCCGCGAATGGGTGAGCTAAGCATTCTTGCATTTGGTCGCTAAAGTGTCACTCATTTTATTTATGAAATGACGTCATCAAACTATGCATAGTGTTTATTAAGTCGCGGGTGCTGCACTGTGATGCAGACTGTGCGATCTTGACAATGAGGCGCCATTATGCTCGCTTTGAGCTCATTCTGACCCATTCCGCGAATGGGCGAGCTAAGCATTCTTGCATTTGGTTGCCAAAGTGTCACTCATTTAATTGATGAAATTATGAAGTCATCAAACTATTTTTATTATAAAAAAACACTGATAAAACACCTTAAAGTTTTGCTCTTAAGGAGCCTTTACATGTCTAACAATCTATTTCTTTAATCGGATAATTATATTAAACACCTGGGTGTAGTGATAAAAATTATAAAAAGTATTTCAACTTTCAAGTAACAAAGTCAAGGCCAAGTAAGGCGGCCCATTAGCGCCGAGCCTTATTGTCCGCGAATGGGTGAGCTAAGCATTCTTGCATTTGGTCGCTAAAGTGTCACTCATTTTATTTATGAAATGACGTCATCAAACTATGCATAGTGTTTATTAAGTCGCGGGTGCTGCACTGTGATGCAGACTGTGCGATCTTGACAATGAGGCGCCATTATGCTCGCTTTGAGCTCATTCTGACCCATTCCGCGAATGGGCGAGCTAAGCATTCTTGCATTTGGTTGCCAAAGTGTCACTCATTTAATTGATGAAATTATGAAGTCATCAAACTATTTTTATTATAAAAAAACACTGATAAAACACCTTAAAGTTTTGCTCTTAAGGAGCCTTTACATGTCTAACAATCTATTTCTTTAATCGGATAATTATATTAAACACCTGGGTGTAGTGATAAAAATTATAAAAAGTATTTCAACTTTCAAGTAACAAAGTCAAGGCCAAGTAAGGCGGCCCATTAGCGCCGAGCCTTATTGTCCGCGAATGGGTGAGCTAAGCATTCTTGCATTTGGTCGCTAAAGTGTCACTCATTTTATTTATGAAATGACGTCATCAAACTATGCATAGTGTTTATTAAGTCGCGGGTGCTGCACTGTGATGCAGACTGTGCGATCTTGACAATGAGGCGCCATTATGCTCGCTTTGAGCTCATTCTGACCCATTCCGCGAATGGGCGAGCTAAGCATTCTTGCATTTGGTTGCCAAAGTGTCACTCATTTAATTGATGAAATTATGAAGTCATCAAACTATTTTTATTATAAAAAAACACTGATAAAACACCTTAAAGTTTTGCTCTTAAGGAGCCTTTACATGTCTATTAATCTTTTTCTTTAATCGGATAATAATATTAAAGATCTGTGTGTAATGGTATAAATTATAAAAAAATATTTCAAGTAACAAAGTCAAGGCCAAGTAACTCATTAGCGCCGAGCCTTATTGTCCGCGAATGGGTGAGCTAAGCATTCTTGCATTTGGTCGCTAAAGTGTTTCACAATGGTCCTTCGTGGGCTGCTGAATATTCTGAATATGTTCATATCTAGATTAGTTTCATCCGTTCATGGACCTATCCTTTTTATAGAGGCGTTATCATTCTATGGCTGCGATCGTCATTCGTGGGCCGTATTTTCCCTGCGCCTGACGTAGGTGAGGTTTCATATTCTCGTACATATTTTTCTGTATTTTCTAATATTCTTTTTTTCTTTTCAATATTTCTTAATATTATGGGTGTTGTTCAATTTTATATAACAAAGGTTTGACACCTATTGTTCTGCTAGACGTTAAATGTTTGAGCTTTGTCGTGCTAAAAACAATTGCACAACTGAAATAAATTATTAAAAAATGTTTCAAGTAACTAAGTCAAGGCCAATTAAGGTGACCCATTTGCGCCGAGTCTTACTGTTCTTACATTATTTTCTAGAATTAATATTTCGAACGCAAATGTTCAAATATATTACTACGCCACGTCTTACACGGCAGGATCAGGCACGTTTTATCAAATTTACCGTATTTCACAAGCAATTCTAATAAATAGTGTAATGGACTTGATATTTAGTACAAATAATTATGTAGTAATGTGAAAAGATAGATACCCTGACCATAAATAGTAATCCAATAACCAAACCGGTCAGTAGGAGGAAGCCGAGTTACCTCTAGGTATATAATACGCCAAAAGCATCGAGGAATACTTTTACACCAGAATATATTAAATTAACACATTTAATAGCTTTTACACCTATAAAAAGATAGTGAGCTCTAGAGTTCACAATAACATCGATAAAGCAGCGCTTCTGCAGACCCAAGGTCATTAAGTGCATCGATATACCTCGATTGAAACAACAATCTGTATTAGGTATTAGTCTTTGATTATATCGATTTAGATACGAACGTGTAAGATTTCGAAATATTGTTGTAATTTTCTGAACATAGTTTTTGAGGGTTTTTGAGTTGCGGCAAGGTTGTTACTTTGTTTCTTCTTTTCATGTAGGAAGGCATAACTTTGTAAACAGTTTTTCTTATGTCACTTAGCACGGGCAAATATAGATTTGTCAAATCTCGACTTTCTTTGCAAAGCGACTATGTGTATTTTATGAGGATAGCAATAAAACGCTGGCAGAGTTTTTAAACGCCCGTGCAAATTGTTTTTCATGTTAAGTTTATTTTCTTCTTGATAGTATGCATTGTGTTGTTATTATATTAATGCTATTGTATCTTAGCAATAAAAAGTTTGACAATGTTAGATGTGGGCTTGTGGAGATAAAATTTTGTTATTTAGTAATTTTATGATTGTAACCATGCATTAAAAATTATATAAAAATATTCCGTTTAATAATAACAAAGGCTAAAATGTCAATTTGTTTAATTGAAAATTGATAAGGGATATGGATTATTTAGATGTGCGGTCAGTATTTATAAATATCCACTCTAATTGAGCCACAGTACAGAATTAACAGTGGTAGAATCACTCCCCTCTTCGTGTTTTCAAATATTCTATTTAAATTACATCTTAACTCATTTCTACAGGAGAGGGAGTGAATCTCCGTTGTTTTAAACCTGTTAATACTTTAATTATTGCAATTGTTTAAAATTTATTGACTTATTAAGAAAATGTTTCACTTTATCGTAATATTAATATCATCTTAATTAAACAACAATTGTATATTTTTTTGAAATGTAATGTAATTTTCAAAACGATGTATAAATTGTACTCAACGCACAATTCGGAAATTAGGCCCTTGAAGTATTTAAATAAAACCACAATAAAAACTGTTATGCTGTTATTGAACTCTATAATATATTGTTATTGTATATGTAATATATTTTATTGCATCCATTATGTTCTTAAAATTAGAACATTATGGGCCATTTAATTTATAAACTGCATGTACCTATTTTATTTGTGACCTAAGTGTACCTATGATATGTTTATTTTATTTTTAAGCTTGTAAGCGCTTTGGACCTGCTCTGTAAGCTTACAAGTGTTTTGCATTAATAAATAAATAAATAAATAAATGACTAGCCACAGCCCTCTCAGTGGGAAGGTTTGGCAGCACTGCGTCCAGAATGGAGGGAGATTATGAAGAGGCAGGTCCACGAGTTCGAGATGCAGCCTACGGCTGAACTCGATGTGAAGCGCGATGACTTGAAGGCCCGTCCATCTGCCGCCATTCACTATAACTAAGTTGGCGGCGTGCTCAGATGCCCTCAATGTGCGAGGGGCTCTTCCGCGAAGATCGGCTACGTAAGCCATCTTCGAGCACACCAGCGCCGCCAAGACAACTAGGATTCGGAGTGGTCGCCATGGCCGAAATCGGTCGGATGGATCAAAAAGCATTAGTTTTTACTTTGTTTCTATAAAAATAAACGCCTTGATTTAATTCACTCTTTTATTCCTGAATCCTTTTTTGCAATTGCACACCCTACAGTATAGACTAAAGCCTTATCCTCAGCCTTTAAAATTGAGTGCTAAAGGGGCAGTAGAGCACAAGCCTGACCTAATTCAATTCAATTTCTTTATTTAAAGATCACAATAAGGTTACTAAATACCATTAAAGAACTATGTTAGTAGGATATCCAATCCTAATTGTAGTAAATACTTACCCAGCCTGTGTGGTCAGAAACCGAAAGAAATGTAATGAAACAGATAATGGGAGAGTCGTACCTTTCCACCAGTCTTCAAGATGCTGTTGGAGCTCGCTCATATGCTACAGAGCAACGAAGAAGTCTTTTTGCGTAGGTGCAAAGATGCCATCAGTCAATCAATTCAAATCAAAAAAATATTTATTCAGTTTTGACCAGTATTAGACCAAAAATACTTGTAGTTTAAAAAAAACTAGCCCTAAAGCGGCACTTCACAGGTCTTCTTATCTTTTAGGCCCTACCACAGCGCTTCGAGACAAACATATTATGACAGACCAGTTCTAAGAAGAAACGCCGGAATAAACTCAGTCATCACTAATATCTAGTCATTATTAAAAAGTACCTATAACCAAATTCAAGTACATCAAAGTATGCGACTGAGCAATTTCAACACACTGAGCAAGCCCAATAGCGCCCTGAACTCGTTGTTATATTGGATCCGAAGGACGTCATGCGATTTCTGCGAGTACCTACGTAGTTAGTAGGTACCTACGAGTACGTTGTCTACAGATTAGAACCTGATTAATCTAAATCTATATCACTCAAGGGTGACTGACTGACTGACTGACATAGTGATCTATCAACGCACAGCCCAAACCACTGGACGAGCTAAAATTTGGCATGCAGGTAGATATTATGTATGACGTAGGCATCCGCTAAGAAAGGATTTTACGAAACTCCACCCCTAAAGGGGTAAAACGGGATCCACGCGTACGAAGTCGCGGGCGGCCACTAGTTTCACAGAAATTAGAAATCGCCGCTATCTTGTCTGATACGGATATTGAATCCATGCAGTCATCTGCTATGTACTGATGCAACTTGTGTGAGATCAGATAACTACTAGTAGGTAGGTACCTACTTTGTTTTACAAGACACATAGTTTCCTACAGACATACAGTACCAGCGTTGCCAGACGTCCCGATTTTGGCGGGACGTCCCGATTTTTTGATCAAAAAATGTCCCGCGCGGGACAGGCTCGGTCCCGCTTTTCAGAGAGAGACACTCACTTCACCAGACTATTGTTTGAAACGCCATATTATTCTAAAGAATAAAACTTTTTTATTTTTTTCTTTTTCTATTCTAAAGACGAATTTAACGATACAGTAAATCTGATTTTAAATATTATTTTTTTGGTAAAATACATTTTCTATGGCTACTTTTGCTATCTATTGTCACGTAAACGTAATTTTATGTCAAATAAAAAGAGAAATATTTGAAAACCTTTGATTATATACGTTTTTTTACTATGTCCCGCTTCTGACGGAAGAATCCCGCTATTTTCACTCAAAAAGTACCAAAGTCCCGACTTGGCGAAAAAAAACTGGCAACGCTGTACAGTACCCTGATTGTGTACTGTATGTCTGTAGGTACTATTCTTTCACCTCTATCCTATCGGATGTTTACAACTCGTCTTCAAAGTCCGCAATAAAACATCAAGGTCACCGGTGGACTGCACTTTGCAGTTCTCAGAATCACTGGATCTATCGGCGAAAATACCAATTACTGATAAGCATTAAGCACACAAAGCGAAGCTGATATTACTTGAACAACATTTTGTCATTTGAGATACTATTTGACCTGTCTCACCTAGCGAGATTAAAAAGACGTTTCAATGTGGATATAGTGTTTTTTTTTTACAATAGACTATAAGTCCAATGGATCGGACTTGCCGAGTCCCGAACGCGGGTTCGAATCTCGCCGCTACTGGACTATTGTGTGTTACCAATCATAACACAAGCATACATACACTCGTACATAATTTAATTTAAGTTATAATGGTCGGCCGTTTGGTGTAGTGGTTCAGAACGGACTACTATGCCGAGAGGTCCCGGGTTCGATTCCCGGCCGGGCAGAAATTGAAATGATGAATTTTAATTTCTGTGACGGGTCTGGGTGTAAATATGTATAATATCAATGTGTTTAATTAAAAAAAAACTATATAAGTAGTATATCCGTTAAGCTAGCACCCATAACACAAGCATTGAGTTGCTTACTTTGGGGCTAGCTGGCGCTGTGTGAAATTGTCCAAAGATTTATTTATTTATTTAATGGGACAAATTAGTAATTTTTTTTAGGTCAATCTCAAATACGATAAAATAATATATAAGGCACTGATTATTAATTAGACAACAATTGAAAAGATTAGATTCTCAGGGTGGTATCGCGCATTACTTTACCTCATCATCATCATCATCTCAGCCACAGGACGTCCACTGCTGAACATAGGCCTCCCCCAATGATTTCCACAATGGCCGGTTGGTGGCGGCCTGCATCCAGCGCTTTCCCGCTACCTTTATGAGGTCGTCAGTCCACCTTGTGAGTGGACTTTACCTAGTAGGTAACAATAACAAAACCCTCCTTTCTGACGCAATCGGATAAGTAAGTGGGAAGCTGCAATGTAATAAAATAATACCTACCTACTGTTTTAATCGTCTATTTTATATTGTGCTGACCATTTCCATTTAATTTTTAACCGACTTCAAAAAAGGAGGAGGTTTTATGTTCGGCTGTGTATGTTTTTGTAATAATGAGTGTATAATATTTTCAAAATAATGTATTGTGTGGGACTGTGGCATTGAACTAATTTACTACCTACTTTTTTATACTATACACGAAATTCGCAGTTCTTATCTACAACTACGAGTAGGTATGTTGAACTACTAATACCCCGAAAATATTAATTAGCATTCGTTTAAATAAGGCTTTGATTACTAAAGGACTACTCTAATGAATTCCTTGAATATTCTGAGGAATATCGGGACACACCTTCTAGGCTCGATATTGATAGTTGTCAAAGTTAGCAATGGAAGCTTTTTGGTTATTCGTGCTCAGGGTCCGAATCATTACAGAGATAAAGGTGCATCCAGTGGCTGCAAGAGATGGCTAGTAACGCCCGTATTCACAAACATTACTATGAGGTCTCACAGTGCGCGTGGACGCACAGGGTGACACGAACCAATCACAGAGACCAGAGTCCTATTCCACGCTGTGCGTTCGATTTGCTGCTTCACTTAAGCAAGCATTGTTTGTAAATACGGGCGTAAGCTTCTCATAAGTTAACTTGGCAAGTATATTTGTAAACAATGAAAAAGTATAATAAGGAAAAAATGCCTATGAACGATGCATTGTAGGGTAAGTAAAGAAAGATAATATTAGGCCCGTATTCACAAACGATGCTTAATTAAGTTAAGCAGTAAATCGAACGCACAGCGCTAGGTAATACCTCAAGGGTGGTCCCATTTGAATTTAATAATAGAAAAAACAACCCCCAAGGGTGGAAAATTGGGGATGAACTTTTTTATACGCAATATCTCCGCCGATTATAAATCAATTTGAACGATTATTTTTTTGTTGAATAGGTATTATCAAAAGGGTGGTTTCATGCGAATTTGAAGAAAATGTTTCACCCCCAAGGGTGGAAAATTGGAAATGAACTTTTTTATACGCAATATTTTCAATTTATAGTTTTTTTTTGTGTTCACGCATTTGAAGTCGGTTTTATTTTTTTTTAAAGTTAATTATAATGGAACTTTTTGTAGCCAGCTACGAAATCTGGCTACGAAGTGGTCCAAACTAAAGGGTTTCTAAAACTCTCGGGAGTTAGTTTTAAGCCCTGATCATTGACAATTCAGCTGGTCCCAGGCTGGTTCCAATTCCAACCAGCCAATCTGAAAATCATAAGGGAAACCTATGTCCACATACATAGTAGTGCACCTCTGGCTGAAATTGTGTTGATGATGATGAATGGCGCAGCATCCAAGGTTGAAGGTTTAGTCAATTGAGCGCAGAGAATTGTCTCTTTTATTAAGAACTCTACACACCAAGCAGTCCAGTCAATAAATAAGTAATAAAATTTAATATCCTTGGACAATTGGACATTTTACACTGCGCCTCTAGTCCCAAACTAAGCAAAGCTTGTACTATGGGTACTAGACAACGGATATAAACATACTTAAATACTTTTTTTTGTAAATACATACATATTATACATAGACCCGTCACAGAAATTAAAATCATTTCAATTACTGCCCGGCCGGGAATCAACCTCGGGACCTCTCGGCATAGTAGTCCGTTCTGAACCACTACACCAAACGGCCGACTTAGTTAATAAAGTTTTATAGAGAGAAATATGGCGAACACAATTTCTGACTTCGTGACTTTATTTAGACTGGTTAGGAGGAGGTGAACATAATATCAAAAGTCCCCGCCCGAAAAAAGCCCTTGAGCCGGCGGGGAGAGGGGGGTTTAAAAGTCCCATTTTTCGGTGCGAGCTAGACACATGACCAGTATGAACCATATAAAGCTAATTAAAGCTACAGGTGACTTATGTCCGTTTTCACCATCAATCCCTAATTTTTAAGATACCTACTTAACAGGAATTTTGTTTTCATAATGGTCACTTAAAAATTAAGGATTGATGGTGAAGTCATTGGTGGCATAAGACAAGTTTTTCTATATCTTGTATAGTTTTCGACACATCTGCTCTAGAAGGCCTGTAATATGGAAAAAAACATGTTTGTCTCACATGTTCCCATCATGAAGAAATCGACTAAATCAACACTGAGCAAGCATTCTAGACATGCGGGAGTATGTTAACCACTTCCAGATGACCTAGAAAGCTCACAACTACGTAAGCTGTGTAATACAAAGGAACAAATCAAAAACCAGTAAGTTTTAACATTTTACAAGTGACTGGACTAAAACTCGCCGACAATAATCGGTCAATAGTCGGCGACTCATGTCGGCGAGTCGATGGGTTTGGTGTGTAGACTAAATTACTCGTAGTCTGTCACATTTTCAAAATTATCCTACTTATTATCCCAAAACATCCGATTTTAACAGCTATGCCCATATGTTGACTAAGCGCGTATTCCTAAGAAGTCATCCCGTTTATTTCAGGAACTGTTTTTGCAGGATCCCGTTTAATAATATCCGTGTTATAATATTAACGTTCACATGAACATCCCGGTTGCATTTTCCCGGAAAAAACCGATCTGTTCGAATTTGTTTTAATTTCAAACACATACCGTGTGTTCACACGACTGTCCAGTTTTACGGAATCCTGGATTACTTACTGGATAGCACAAACAGGATCGTACGAACGAGCCCTAAGGTGTAGTTTGTTAAATAACTAGGTCAAGCAGAGTTAGGGCGTCTAGATTTAGAAGCTGGGCTACGTGAGATCTACAACTGGCTCACAATGCAAGCCATTATGGTCTTGTCGGAGCAGGATTTTGCATGCAAATGTTTTTGGTGGCATTTTCAGGTGCTTTTTCGACAAATATCTGTAAGTCACGTCACTACCTTGTTTAATAAACTACGCAATCTTGTATAAGTAACCATTCTTATTTAAGATACACCATACAAGAATGCATGGTAAATTCAGAGAACTGCTCCTGAATCAATAATGTAGGTACCTACTACTGCTATTTCTATTTATTTATCGGCAGACAGTGGCAAAGTTTGTTGCGGCGCTTCTTCTCAGCACTTGCTAAATGTTGGTATCGAAGCGCTGGTAGGGTAAAAAGATTATGAGACATGTTCGTTCGTTCGTTCGTTCGTTTCAGCCAAATGACGTCCACTGCTGGACAAAGGCCTCCCCCAAGGTTTTCCATAATGAACGGTCCTGCGCTGCCCGCATCCAGGCTTTTTCCGCGACCTTTACATGATACATTAGAGGCTTCTTAAGAGCAAAATATTTGTCGATTTGTAAGTAGGTACTATTTAAATATTCTATACAAAAAGAAATTTTGACTTTGAAATAGCAAGCCTATAATGCTTCTCCTAAGATATCATACTAATAATATACCTACTTTCTATACTAATATTATAAATGCGAAAGTAGGTAACTCCGTCGGTCTGTCTACCTTTCACGCCTAAACCACTGAACCGATTTTGATGAAATTTGGCATAGAGATAGGTTGAGTCCCGGGAAAGGACATAGAATAGTTTTTATCCCGGTTTTTGAAACAGGGACGAGCGCGATGAAGTTTTTCTGTGACAGAAAAAATTCCACGCGGGTAATGCCGCGGGCGGAAAGCTAGTAAACAATAATACTGCAAAGTTTCATCAAAATTGTATCTGTAGTTTTTGCGTGAAACAGTTACAAACATCCATTCTTGCTCACAAACTTTACGTTAATACTTATTATTTAGTAAAATAGGATAAAAAGAGTAGGTCGTACATTTAGATATCGGACTAAGATTTATATGTGATTGCAGCTTCCGAAATTGGTTGACTCAGCTACCACCACGCCATACGGGTTCGAATCCCGCAAAAGACAAAACTATGGGATGATAACAGTACCATTTGTATGTCTACCCGCTGTCTGATCACCATAGCTTGCCTATATGCTATAATATTGCGATTATAGGAAAAGTTTACTTTGCTAAGTACCTACGTATCTGACCCGTCGACCTGCGTTGGTAGATAGAGCCTCTTTGACCCATCCGTCGGATCGAATTAGATAAATTATTGGGGTATATAAGAGGAGGCAGCCCTTCCATTGTCCCAGTCTCTGGACGGCCAGCAACGAGTGACGTCCGATTGAGTAATTGCATCAACCAAGATGAACGTATTTGTTTTGATTGCGCTCCTCTGCGTCTTCCTTGGGGCCAGCCTCGGGAAAGGTATGTATATTTGATTTAATTTCCATTTAAACATCTGCAAATACAACAAAATATGCCAATATTGTCCTATTTTCACTGCGTTTGGTACGTTTGAAACACATTTTATTGTCTTTGTTGGATCCACGAAAAAGTATTTGGTTCTAATCTTATTAGAAGCTTTTTAAATTGACAAAGGCTGGAATCTTAGATTTATTTTGTGTTAGGAAGGCAAAGCGAGAATTTATTTTATTTTATTTTATTTTATTTTATTTTATTTTATTTTATTTTATTTTATTTTATTTTATTTTATTTTATTTTATTTTATTTTATTTTATTTTATTTTATTTTATTTTATTTTATTTTATTTTACAAAGCTGTGCTGCGGATTTTAAAATACTTTAAAAAAATATCTGGTTTCTTAGCGAAACGGTATTCTAAACCATAAGAAGTGTTCATTAATATAAAATATCCATGTCCTCGTAAGTAGGTCTAGTAGTAGTAGTAGTAGGTACGTAGTAAATAAGTGTGATTATTTTCAAATTATCAGTAGGATCAGTATTTATTTTTTTAAATGTTGTGTTGTTTTATATTTATTCTTTGTATTATTAATCTGCATAAAAGATGTTATTTTGATTCCGAATTTGATAAAATAGGTACATATTTCCGCTGTACGACCAGCATTATTAATTTGACTTTACGCCGTGACTGCCGTGAGTCAAGCACGGACTGATGTATTTATAGATATTGGTAATTGGGGCATCGCAATGCATTTTTGATAGTGTCATATCTCTGTGTTTTGTTTACAAAGAAAAGTGAGTGTGCAATGAATGAGTGTGGAATATTTAATATTTATCAATTTGGTTATTTCATTTAATATTGTTATCAGATTACCTACATAAAAATACATTATAGAATACAAATAAATTGCAGAATAAAATGAATCAGATTCAGAAGTAAAAACAATCTAGACTGAGCTTTTTCTTTAATTAAGGTACTTACATGGGTTAATTTCGTTTAGCAGTATGGCTGAGTTGCACCACCTAACTTTGACCGTAACTATAACGAATACCGGTGCTTTTTGTAAGGAATTTGACAGATTTTCTAACGTTTGTTAAGTAAAAGTAAGATGGTGCAACCCACCCTAAGTAGCTACGAATTTTTAGTTCCAAAACCCAGGCAAAGCTTAACATTAGAAGACTGAGCAACAGTTTATTTAGAAGAGTCCATGAAGTTATTTTTATATTTAGATTTACACGTGTTATGTACATAAGTAGGTAACTAAATATTTACTTGATTTTTTTGTCAAGTTGGTGGGCGGGGCTTGCCACTTGACACGTTTTGTTTGACAAGCAGTTTCATAGTAAACAAAAGCTTGACGTTTGGACTTACATTAAAATTTAGATAGACTAGGCGCAGACTACCGATTTTTAGTTGGCCGATATTTGGACCCGATTTTAATTTGTACTTATTAAGAATCGGCCAAATCAAATCGGTGTAATGTGCGCACTTCCATACATGCCCATTGCCCATACTGATCAACTGCCCGACTAAACTATCGGCCGACGAAAAATCGATGGTCTGCGCCTAGGTTAACGATGCAATTTGATCCCTTAAAATTAAGTTAAAGTTACCTACTTAACTACTTAATACGTGTAAACCAGCCATCAGTTACTTTGCTTAGTAAACTTGATTGTATAAGAAACTTAAGTGGTCAGTCTTATTTACACTATTTCTAAAAGAAATCTCACGGGAAACGTGTGAAAGAGTAAAGGTAAAATATAAAAATGCATGTACCTACTTAATATGGAAATCTCTGTATGAATTATTAAATAAAATAAAAAAATCTCTTTTACGATAACGAAACTACGAAACTGATAATAAATCGTCAGTTATTCGACATTTTGACATATTTCCCATACTGAAACCGTCAGTGCCAGTTATACCAGGAGTTATTTTCGGATAAAAGTTTGGTCGAATCGCGCCTAAACTGATTAAGGGTGGATTCGACCAAACAAGAGTAAATATTAATCTCAGAATAAACTTGTCATTTTGACATAATTATTTCCCATACTGAAACTGTCAATGTGTCAGTTATACCAGGAGTTACTTATTCTCGGATAAAAGTTTGGTCGAATCGGGCCTAAGACGAAAAGTGTGGAGATGTGTAGAGAACCAGGAAAAAACAGGATAATGTTATCCCGATTTTTAAAAGGGGTATAAAAATACGAAGCACGGTAAAGATACGCGTATACAGGGTGTTAGGTAAATGGGTATATGAGCCGACACTAGCCCATGTTAACATGGGCATATATTATAAATGGTATGGTGAAGTAAGAAAGGACAATGTTCGTTCTCCATACATTGTTCGCCGTTAGATCAACAGTGCCGAAATAATACTTTCTAGGTTCTAAATGACACAAATCTTTATGTAAGAACAATTATTCCTGGCGGACCAATTCTATAAACTTATTGATAGCAATATTGTTATCATAACCTCTTACTTACTAGTATTGTATTATATTATTTTATGCACATCGATTTGGGAGATGTTCTGTATTGTAGTTGTCGCAGCCAAATTGTATTATAATATTGGACGGGTTTTGGAAATAGCTCGGCGTTCCACTTTTATGATTTACTTACTTACATTTTGCACGTAAATAAATAACATGAATCCTATGTTTACTTTCCACTCTTGACATTTAACACGTGACTTACCAAACTAACTATCTCCATGGTTACCGTCTTAGTCTATGCATGACTAGGGATTGAACAACTTTTAATTGAATATTATTAACAATTCTCGATAATTATTATCGATTGAAAAATATTCGGTATTTGAATCGAAAGATATATTCAATTTTATCAATATCAAAATATTCAATTTTAATAATAAAATAAATATTATTTACTACCACCTATGAAATGTTCTAAAAATTGCCTGGAGCGCTCCCCCAATCCTGGGTTTTCCCTTTCCAAGCTGAGAGGATATCATTTTGGTTCTATCGATACATTATAAAGGTACTTAATATTTGAAATGTATTACCAATTATTGTTATAAGCATTTTGAGCGAATAAAACTTTCAATTCTATTAGAACTTTAGACATTTCTCTCACTTTAAGCGGCATTGGATTTTTCATCGAATTTTGAAACTGTAACAGATATATTAAAGATGATCCCATATTGTTGTCATTGTCTATATCAGTGTTATGATCACAATTCTTTTTATTTTATTCATGACCTTCGACCAGTTGGACACATTAGATAGCTTCTTGTAGTATCGTGCAATATATTTTTAACTTTTAATTAAAATCTAGTCATACTGTAGCAATTTGGACGATTTATTTTATTTACAAGATCGGTATCTTATTGTCTATGATGACCGCAGTCAACATCACTATTACATGGATTCCTAACAATGAAGTACGGCATTGCCTTGTGCCGATTTTACATAGATTTTATCGACACAAATTATGGAACTTCATAGGATATGGAGCAGGCCACGCCCTAAAATGTCCGGATGTCGTCATAGTATTATGGAATACATATAAAATACTTTTATTATTTCATTTTTTAATCCTCAAGTGTCCGTTACAATCTAATTAATATTTAAGTATTCAAAAAGTAAGAGATTAATTTTGATACTTTACTGCTGTGCCCAGGAATCTGAGGCGGTTTCTGACAATGTCCTTTGATATCAGCATTTTAATTTTTTTAATTTTCATGCAAAATAGTTTTTATAAGATCCGATTTGTATGAAAATTAAAATAATTAAAATGAAGATATCACTTTTGTGACTTCACCATACCTACCATTTATATGCCCATGTTAACATGGGCTAGTGTCGGCTCATATACCCATTTACCTAACACCCTGTATGTTATAGCGGGGAGACCGTGTTGCCATACTTTATTATAATACATAAAAGCCCTTAGTCTCCGTTCCCATTATACTGAGAGATAAAAAAACTCGTCTAGACAAACATTAGGTATGTACGACGACTGTACATCAATAGCATCTTATCTCGTTGTAATACAGGCTATTTTCAGATAAAAATGTAGGTATAGTCTGATGTCTGTACCTACAGTTCCAGACGACCTTCAAGAGAACCTAGACAATCTTGCACTTAAATCATTTAAAGACATTAATTTCATCAACAACGTTTTTATCTAAATTAATAGCCAATTACAGCTTAAAATAGAATAATGCGACACATATAAAGCTGATTACCAAGTTGTCTTTCCGAAGGCTTGGCCGATAAGGAATACCTACCATTGATAGTGTAAGTACTTACTTAGTAGGTACTCGTCTTTAAGACGAAAGTCTAGATAAGCTCAACAACACTCGTCCCATGCACACTTTACCCCCCACTGCTTGATAATATAGGTCAGTTCTAGGAGGAAAAATTATGTCTTTATCAAATCACTTAAGGATCTGAGACGTGGTCGCTTGCTCCTCCTACGGGGAGGCTTCCGGCGACTGGGACCGCAATTAACTAGGACCGCGGTCCCAGTCGCCGGATAAATAAAAAAATAAATTTTCTTCCGGCGACTGGGACCACTTATAGATAACTTTAAAGAAAATATTATTCAATCCAAAATCGGTACAGTACTAAAATCCATGAGTGGTCCCAGTCGCCGGAAGAAAATTATTTAATTTTTACGCATCCGGCGACTGGGACCGCGGTCCCAGTTAATTGCGGTCCCAGTTGACGGAATCCTCGCTTGCTGACGGGCCTCGTAAGAAGGCTCAATGTCACCCAAACGGCGATGGAGGAGGATGGCGATGCTATGCTCGGAATTTCTCTTCGTGATCGAATCGGAAATGAGGAGATCCGCAGGAGAACCAAAGTGACTGACATAGCCCGCATAATCACTAAAATCAAGTGGCGGGGCGAGGCACATAGCTCGTAGAGCTGTTGGCCGCTGAGACAGAAAAGTTCTCGAGTGGCGACCACGAGCCGGAAGACGTAGTGTGGGCAGGCTACTAGGTGGACCGACGATCTAGTGAAGATCGCGAGAGGTGCCTGGATGCGGGCGGCCCAGAACGGTCCTTGTGGAAATCCTTGGGGAGGGCCTTTGTCCAGCAGTGGACGTCATTCGGAACCAACGAACCAAATCACTCTGATCAAGAAAAGTTGTACAAATACGAGTAGATAGGACGAGTTAATGTTCTGCAGAGAAAAGAATCTTTCAGATTCTTTACAAAACTAGCCTATACCCATCATCATCGTCATTTCAGCTATAAGATCATGTTCAGGTATACCCAACTTAATTAATTAAAATTAGAGTCGCGTAAGTTACTGATATAATTTGCAAACAAACACTGATACAAAGTAAACAGATCTAAATTTCCTTGTTTATTTATAAATTAACGTCTCGAGCCCTGACCTGGCCGAAGATAACCTGGCAGCCATGTAAATAAGATACAAATATATCGCTTACACGTGGGGTCGCAGCCACGAAGTAGAGCAAGAGGTAATCAATTACAAGATATCGAATTCATATTATACCTATAGGTAGGCACGAGAGGGTGTTTTGGAACTTCAAACGCCAGCGAGACTTCAAATATGCATCATATTAATTACTCGTAATTGTTCACATCATAATAATGTCAATGTCACCCCTTCCGTGGTTCCCAAACTTATTTAGTCTACTGCCCACTTTGAGAATAAATTATTTTTAGCGCCCCCCATATTTGTAGTCAAGAGTCGAGCTCAGTCGGTGTCTAAGAGTCCTTCTAGTAGATGACGCCTCCCAAGCCTCTACACAACGTCCCGATTTTTTTTCTGGGTCTCTTACCGCCCCTCTATAATCCTGCAGCGCCCACAAGGGGGCGTTATCGCCCACTTTGGGAAAGACTGCTCTAGACCTAGTCCGAGATTTGCTTGCCTGCAACGCGGAAGATTTCCACTTCAGCTCTGGTTCCTGGAACATCTTTTTCTTCTGTTTCTTGCTTATAAAGCTGAAGAGTTTGTTTGTTTGCTTCAACGTGCTAATCTCAGGAACTACTGGTCCGATTTGAAATATTAGCCTTTGTGTTGGATAGCCCATTTGTCGAGGAAGGTTTTGGGCTATATAACATCACCCTAAAACCAATAGGGGAGCAGTAAAGAAAAATGTTGCAAATGTGGGAAATATTATTTTCACGCACTTTTGGGGAAAAAAAAAAGTTACCATCATGGGCTAATCGCATATCTTGGGAAAAAGTCAACTACCTCTGTTTGCTGACGTGATCATCCCATATGATACCCCTACTATCCAACTATGTGCGTTACATCGAACTTGACGAGTACTTTGTTCTTAAGTGGTAACCAGGGTCTGATGACGGAGCTAGAAGTTGGCATAGGAACTCAGTAACGAAACGAATGCAATACCATCGAGTTTGGGCTCGTTTGAATCGTATTGAGGAGTACCGCGTTGCACGGTTTAAGTAAAATAAACCCGTTTAGTAACGTCTTATTCAAACCTTGAATGACTTCTGTTGTTTTTATAACAAAAACCATCATCAGATGGTGGTCATCATAAATGATTTTAATGCGTTTATGATATTCAAACATGGTAGAGGTACCTTAGGTACCTAAGGTGTGCTTTAGCAACAGTACCTAGGTATTTTTTTCATAAATATTTTCCTCCATTCCCTGTGGAATTAGACAGGGTCTCCTGCAGTGACTTCATGGTTTGGGTAATGATGCTTATGATTGGTTTCTATATTGCAGAAACCACAAGAAGCCCTCAGCCTGATGTCAACAACATTGAATACGTGAGTATTATTTTTAATTCACTAATGTATTAAAATTCCCAAGCAATTTGAAGAAGTAAACCTGTCTTGTTGTCATCATTTTCTGTTATTATTTTACTCCTGCAGGCTGATCATGGATTCTACAGGAGTTCTTTCATTGGAAACGACGAGTACTTCGACAAGCATTGGAACAGTCTTTGCGGCTATTTCCCGCTCATAGTCACCAAGGACAGTGGACTCGATCCCGTAAGTCTATTATTTCATTTTGTTGCCATATTGTTCATTAATTCAGGATCAGGACAGGATCACTTTTAACATATCAACTAAATTCTTAATTCTCAGTCATCGTATAGTTTCAACCAAAGGACGCCCATTGCTGGACAAAAAGGGCCTCGATTTCCTCGACCGGTCTTGCGCTGCCCGCATTTAGGTGTTTCCCGTGACCTTCAGTCAATTAATAAGCCAATTCAAACAAAAAACAGCTCCCACGAAAGCCTCCTTATAGGTTTGTGATATGGTGCGTCCAGACAGGGCGCACGGGCTCGCGCGGCACGCTGGTTATCCTGCTCACCCTGCTCTTGAGTGAGCAGGATGTTGAGTTTTCCGCGTGAGCCCGTACGCCCAGTCTGGACACACCAATATACTGCCCAAGGCAGAGCAAACGGCCAAGAATGACCTACCTAAATAACAAATTCACAGATTTTCGGTGTAATTTGTTCTACGTAATTATCTTCCAGCCCTTCCACCTTAAATTCAACTTCACTTTCTTCGGCCGGAGCTATTCGCAAGTCCACGTGTCGCCGCACGGCTTCCTCAGCATCGGCAAGGATCGACTGGCTAACCCCGCCGCCACGCAGTATGCAGCACCCCTTATGGCCCCCTTCGAGGGTCCAAGGAGATACTACATTTGCAACGGAGGTGAATACAACACACTAGACTTATGGTGCGTCCAGACTCTGCGAACGGGCTCGCGCGGCAAACTCGACATCCAGCTCACTCAAGAGCAAGGTGAGCAGGATGACCAGCGTGCCGCGCGATCCCGTTCGCCCAGTCTGGACGCACCGTTACTACAATCATGGTGACCAACCATATCAATCATCAATTGTAATTTTTTTCATCGTTTCCCTTAAATTAAGTAGATCATAGCAGTTGCTGCATAGATTTAGCAAGCTTTTTAAGCTTCCTGCCAAGATGAGGATTGCCAACAAAAGATTTTTACAATCAAAATCATAAAGATATTAGCTACAGAATCTTTTTTGCTGTTCATCGCTTGCATTTTTTTACTATTCTTTCAGAAAAGAAGTTCACCGCCGTGTGGCTGGACATGGCTACCCCGGATGATCCGAACACCCAGTTTTTATTTGCAATCACTCTCTACGACAACGATGACATTGCTTTTTCTTACAAAGAGGTTCCCAAGCCAATTAAATCTATTGCAACATCACCAGTCAAAGTTGGACTCAGCGACGCGTTTACCGCCTACTTCGAGAATCCCAAGTGTAAGTAGATTAAACAATTTTGATGCTTGTCCAATAAGTTTTGTGATTTTTAAGTCAAATAATCCTCAAGAACCTTCTAAATAGTTGTTAGGACATCTTCAGCAAACAAGATGTGATAAGGTACCTTACCTATAGTAGATATCTCCATTTTTCAACTTTTTTTATCTACAACGAGGAAGCTCTTAGATTGCCAGACATCTCACCAGATGATCAGGTCTATAATAGAAGCAAGCTTCACACGGAATCCGTATTCCTTAAGCACAGAGGAACTGGCAACGTCAATTATCGTTTTTTGACAAAAATATTTTTTTACAGCCGACGATTCTTCAGACACAACGTACAACAGCATTTCCTTCATTAACTACGACATCAAGAACAAGACTGTCATCAAACTGGAACGGCTTCCAACTTGCAGTGATCACTCCAACTGCCGAAGCTGCGTCAGTGCTGACTCTAACTTGAACGTAAGTACTTAGTAAAAACATACCTCCACAAAATTACAGCTCTCTAGTGCCAACAGTTTCTAAGCAAAACCTCGGACAGACAGATAGACAGACATATCGAAACTAAAAGGTAGCCCTTTTTACATGACTGTCTCCTTAATCCTTTGGACCCTACCAGCGATTCGAGACAAATACCGGGGGGGAGGGGTATACCCTCCGTATTATGTGTAACTCACTAAAACCTAGGGTATTCCCTATGCCACTTACGGGACTATTCCCACCTCTCGTTCCCACCACTGCAACTCCTGTGTAGCCAGGATCTACAGCTTGACCGCCACAAAAACCCAACCAATGAAGGTCAAGTTTGTCCCGGGGGAAAGTTAAACTGTCATTGGACCCGCAACGAAATTAATCAGAAGAACATAGGAGGAGTTCGAAATTAAGGTTCGACTTCCCTCCATTGCAAAGCGGATGACAGGTGACAAACAAAGGTTTAAAACACCTTTAAGAAAAAGATTATGCACCACGGACAATAAATTAAATTAAGGGGGCCTATCTTATGAGCAATTAGCAACTACCTGCCAATAATATTTTATGTTCCCTATGCCACTTAGTGGTCGGCGCCTTAAGTATTAGTTAGTGCCAGGACAACGCCCGCCCCCTCAACGGATGGGGGCCGACGGGATTAACCGGGATTAGCCGGGACTGTCCGACGGTAGTGACATATGCAATGCAGGAGAAGCATCCCTCACCCCTCCTACCACCACCAGGGAGGAGGAAGAAGCGAGTGGTTCAATAACCTTCTAACTCCCAAGTTTTTTTTACCTTAGAATATACTCGTACTTATAGGTACATACGTCCAACCATGTGTAGTCTAGTAACTGCTCTTTTAGTAGCTCGCCCAGGATGATAATATTTTAGTATTTTCTGCTTAAATATTTAATTTTACTAGTCAATGCAATGCACAACGAATAAATCTCATCGAGTAACCATGAGTAAACTTCTCAAATTATTATTTTATAATTTTCGTTGCAGTTCCGAAACCTACAAATATTTTAGTGGTGCATTCTCCTTTTTTCAGTGCGTGTGGTGTGCATTATTGCAGAGGTGTGGGGCGTTTGACTCAAATCTCAACCCATGGTATAAATGGGGTAAGTAAAACTTTTTTGGAGATACTTTTTTAGAAATGTGAAAACTAGGTATAATTATTATATAGGTAAGGATGTCAGTTTTATTCTTTTCATATTTTTAGTTGCTGCTAGATGGCACCCTTAACAAAACTCACGTACTATTCAATACTAGATGGCGTTTCAAAATATTTATCACTCAAAGAGTTTTAAGATGTATCGCTAGATGGCACTTACTAAACAATGTAGCTTTACCACTAAACAATAGATGGCGCTATTTGCATACACCCACCACCACCAGTTTCAATCATAGCCACTAGATTTTGCTCTGTCATTAGTAAGTACTTAGTTATACTACTCACTACAAGGTGGCAGTACAAAACTTCCAAATGCTAGTTCTAGCACTTCTAGCTATTTACCTAGATGGCGTGGTAGTCTTAATTCTTGAATTACTCATTACTAGAGGGCGCACAAGCTCATGTACTGCTAAAGAATAGTAATTTATAAAAAAATCGAAGATTGATATAGGTGACCCAAAAAGTAGTGTCAAGTTAAAGCCCAGAGGTAGAGCAACTGTAGGGCTACCCGAATCACCCCTATGTATGTTCTGCAATTTTTAATAGTTTTCGAGTTATGATTGTTTTTCTGTGCTTAGGCACTTTTTTGGTCACTGAAGCGCGAATAGTCAAGTTACATGCCTGATTTTTTTTATAATAACTAGGTAACACGATTGTAGACTAAAAACTTTAAAAATTCTGTAGGTAACCCGAAAACTATCAACAGTCGCGGTGATTCCCTAGTGATGCTCTACCTCTGGGCACAGAATTGATACTCCTTTTTAGGACAGCCTGTATAAAAGTAATATTTTGTCTGTAACGATTTGTATATTTATTTCTAGTGTGTCAACGTTACACCATCCAGAAACCATCGCAGTGCCACACAGAGCATTTTTTGCTATCCAAGGTGGACAACTCCATCGACTGGGCCAAATAACAAATCCTCTCTTATCAGTTCACCCGTAACTTACCTCCGTATTTTTAGACGATCCCTTAGCAAAGAATTAGTGCACGTCAAATTGTTCCATTATTTTATTTTAGTCGGTAAATCAATTAGATCACTATTGGGAAGTTCAAACAGGAAATAAATTAAATTAAAAATAGTTTTCATTGCACCATTTGTTCAGCTTCTTTTTACTTTAATTTTGTTGTTGTCATCAGTTGCTACAGCTATATACCAAATACCTACTAAGAATAATGGGGGTGCACTAGCATGTAAGCCGCCGTCTCTCTCGATGTGAGAAGAAGTAAGGAAGCGAATGTCTATTATTAAACTACCGGACATTGACTTTTTTAATTCGAAATACTCACTATTTAGAGTGAAAGTCGTCTTACAAGCCAGTGTTTTATAGCGTTATTTAATTATAAGTTTCTTTTATTGTAACAGCAAAAAAAATACTAACATAATTGTTTTGGTATATTTTGAAATGTGATTCTAAAACTGCCCATTTTTTTGTAATATTAATTTTGCTTTCGTTCTAATAAAATTATTATAATTGCTGTTACAACTACTTGTCGATAGAGGGCGCTACTTCACCTGTTTTATATCTGTGTTTTATGTTTAAAATTTGTGTACTCTGTGTATTCCTTAATATTTGTCAAATGGGCTAAATTAAACTCATTAGGTCATTCTATTAATGATTTATTAAAACAATTAGGTACCTGAATGTAATACTAATGCTAATCTTAATTTTAAAATTTCATTTTGTTATTATTATGAATATTAATTGTATGTATCATTTCTTGATTATGATTTTCGAATAAATGAGTCTAAATTCTGTCTGTTCTATTATTTTAAGTTTAACTACTTAGGCTGAGCTGCACCACCTAACTTTAACGGTAACTATAACGATAACCGGTGCTTTTTGTATGGAGTTTGACAGATTTTTGACGTTTGTCAAAGTTAAAGTAAGATGGTGCAACAACTCAGCCACATAGGTAGTAAGGTTAGTGCTGCTGGTAGTAAAATTACATCAATATTTATTTAGTGAAAGAATATTGGTCATATTCGGCGAAAGTATGTATACTAAATTGATACCTGGGTCTACTAGTACTTAATTTCATAGTATGACAACAATCCTGTAACACGCGGGAATACGGAGATAGAGGTCATTGAATATGCAAAGTTTTCATAGTAGGGCAATAAAAATAGTACATATCAATCAAATTACTTGTATCGATTATATTGATAGTATTGTATCATATCTTATTATCGATACTATCGATTAAGTAAGTAGGTAATGCATGTAGGTATACCGAATAAATCATAATCGATTATTAGATTGCAATAATGGATATTATTGCTGAAAATAAGGAATCAAACTAACAATAAAAAGATAGTAATGATTGGTAATCAATAAAATAAATTAATCGAATTGTTAATCGATAAATCGTTAGTCACTATCGATTGATAATCGATCCGTGATCGATTATACGGCATCACTACAGCATAAACTAAGGCCCAGAACAGACGGTGAAACGCGACCAGTTTGAAACTTTCAAACTGGTCGCGTCATATTGTGTGGTCTCAACGGACGCTATGGCAGAAACTTAGATGCAACCTAAGGATGCAACTCAAAATTCTTTAGTTGTCACATCCTACTAATACTATAAATGCGAAAGTTTGGATGTCTGGATGTTTGTTACTGTTTCACGCAAAAACTACTGAACGGATTTTGATGAAACTTTACAGTATTATTGTTTATAAACCAAAATAACATAAATAGGCTATAATTTACGACAATCTGTGACAAACTAAATTTCACGCGGGTGAAACCGCGGGCAAAAGCTAGTATCGTCACAAATTATAGCCTATAATATGTTATTCTGTATAATATAAATAAATTATGGACTACTTTTGTCTGAAAATAAATGATTTTTATTTATTTATAAACAATAATTCGAAGAGGAGAGCGTATTTTTACCTTAAAGGCTGGCAACGCACCTGTAACGCCCCTGGGTCTGCGGGTGTCTATGGGCGACGGTAATCACTTACCATCAGGTGATCCGTCTGCTCATTTGCCTCCTGTCACATAAAAATAATAATAATAATACTGCAGTTTCATAAAATCCGTCCAAAGTTTTTGCGTGAAAGATTAACAAACATCCAGACATCCCGACATCCAAAGTATGAAGGTAGGAAGTAGGATAGTAGGGTTTGTAATATTTATTTTATTTAAATAAAATAAAATATTAATATTATTTCATTTATTTGTATTTATAAAATGCATCTTAACTTAAAAAATGTGTAATAGACAATTTATTGATTGAAATAATATTTCATTATTTAAATATTTGTGAAATATTTGAAAATACACTCGGCGTCAAAGAAATCGCACCTCCCGCGACAATAATTTGAAGATTTTCTTCTGACACAATTATGGTGCTCCACCAATATTCGTGTTATTTTAAAAAGCCCAATAAATAAACTTAAAGAAAAACACATGCATTTTTTTATAAACAATTAACAGGTACCATAAATTTGGCTTGAAAAACCGGCCAAGTGCGAGTCGGATTCGCGCACCGAGGGTTCCGTACAAACCTGTAGGTATATAACTTTGATTTTGTTACAACTTAAAGGTAGTACTATAGAATAGACCTGTGTATTTGAGGGGTAGTAACTTTTTTTTTTAAACTACTTACTAGATCTCGTTCAAACCAATTTTTAGACTACATTTTACCACTTTGGAAGCGTCTCTCGCTCAAACTATTCAGTTTAGAAAAAAATGATATTAGGAACCTTTTGAAGACCTATCCACGTGAAAAAGTCGAAATGATGAAATCAGTTCTATGTATGGAGAACCCCCAAAATTTATTGCTTTACTTTTTTATATTTTTGTGTAAAAATCTTAATTCAGTTCACAGAATACATCTACATACATACCAAGTATCAACAGTATAGTTTTTATAGTTTCGGAAAAGTGGCTGTGACATACGGACGGACAGACAGACCGACATGGCAAATCTATAAGGGTTCTGTTTTTTGCCATTTGGCTACGGAACCCTAAAAATCCAATGTTGGGGATCACATCTGGGACCAATTCGACCAATTTTTGGGGTTATAAAACCAAATAATGATCTCACATGTCCTCTTTAACAGATGGATAGCGATTAAGCCCAATTTAACAGTTTTATAACCATAAAAGTTGGCTCAAACGTAACTACCTGTCGCTTTAAGAAGAGACTGGAACCTTCTAAAGACACATTTTTGGGGTAGAAACCTTTCCTTCAATGAAATGAGTTTAGAACTGGACTTTCAAATGATACCAATATTGGTGGAAAGTGGGGATACATACGTTCGAAAGTGCTTATTGCGGGAGGTGCGATTAATTTGACGCCAAGTGTATATAGGTATATAACTACTCTACTTCATTTGTGGATTTATTTGATTAAATTGTCAGTATACAGCTGACAGCACATTAAACTACACTTTTTATTGGAAATAACATATGTTACAAATACAAAGATGCTAATTTAGCTTGATGTACTTGCTCTGTACTTAGCAGTGATTTTACATCAACAAGGAATGGTTAAACGATTTACTACTTATTCTAAGAACTGGTCTAGATGTGAGCCACAGATATTTCTATGTAAGACGAAGCAGCGACATCGCTCCTTCGTCGCTCCGTGTCCGTAACGCATCGTGTGCTTTGGATCTGACGCATTTTTACTCGCACGATATTATTATTGTGATACGACGAGTAGAGGTTCATACATTCTATTCACATATAGTCCCGCGTTTTGCCTATAAAATTACAAGATGTTTTGCATCTGGACCAGCTCTAATACATTATAGAGAATTGCACACGCTTCGAGTACCTAATTAATAGCTCTCGAAAACAGTCAACAGCACGTTAGACTATAAGTTTTATTGCAACATCGTATCTTAGCTCATAAACTTAATATTCCTTTGGAATAGAGCAACAACCACGAGCTGTAAACAAAACCAGCGAAGAGACTTAAATGCATTGATCGCCATCGCTGCACGCCGGCTGATCGCGTTGGTTTGACTTAACCTTTAGGTTTAACATAGCATACAGGGTGTTAGGTAAATGGGTATAATATGAGCCGACACTAGCCCATGTTAACATGGGCATATAAATGGTATGGTGAAGTCAGAAAATTGATATTTTCATTTTAATTATTTTAATTTTCATACAAATCGGACTTTATAAAATTTATTTTGTATGAAAATTTAAAAAAAAAGGATGATATTGAATTTCTGAAATGACCATACCATTTATATGCCCATGTTAACATGGGCTAGTGTCGGCTCATATACCCATTTACCTAACACCCTGTAGACTTCATTTCATGGTGTTGACGTTCATTGACCTGAGGGTTTAATGTGAGTTTACATCAATTGTAGTCACTAGCGAGCGCGTTAAAAAATATAATATATGAAGATTTTAGTTCTTGAATGTTTCCGCTAGGGGCGCTTCCACTTTTTCCCTTTACTTCACTTTTTTACGCAGTCTACATCGAATGCGTTTACGTAAACTCACACTACGCCACTTAAGAGTAGGCGCACACCGTTGATTTTTCATCGGCCGATAGTTTAGTCGGGCAGTTGATCAGTATGGGCATGTATAGGAGTGCGCACAACTATTGGCCAACTAAAAATCAACGGTGTGCGCCTACTCTAAGGTAGCCTTTCGAACTAAGCGTCACAGACGCAGCGTCTTTAGCTTTGGTCTTAAAGGTAGCCTTACGAAGCGAGTAAGTGACGCGGCGTTGGTGGCACAAGACCAAAGCTAAAGACTGCGTCTGTGACGCTTAGTTCTATAGGCTACCTTTAACCGCATCCTGTGTGACGAATGCTTGATCATTACTTCTCCTCCTCCTTGAATCGGGCCTTCAGCTGTTTGGTGTAACTATCGAGCCGGTAAGCGGTCACCTCGAACTGCGACACTTGAGCGTCGATCTGGTCAATCTGCATGAGGAGCGGCTTGATCTGCTGTTGATCTGAAAATTAAAATTGGGTAATAAAATAATGGATAGTGGATATAAAATCGATTTTATGAATTACTAGCGGCCGACCGCGATTTCGTACGCGTGGATCCCGTTTTACTCTCTTAAGGGTTGAATTTTACAAAATCCCGTCTTAATGAGCACCTACGTTCTAAAAGGAACCCCCATGCAAAATTTGAGACTCCTAGCACTTGTAGTTTCTGAGATTTCGTGATGAGTGAGTGAGTCAGTCAATCAGTGACCTTTCGCTTTTATAGATAGAAATAGATTTCACTTAGCATCACTGTCCACTTATTTAAAAATTAAGCTTAAGTTTGCTTAAGTTTTTTTTATTTGTTCAACTTTTAACCAAAAGACGGCCACTGCTGGCTTTAAGGCCACAATCCTGAATCCGATCCTCCACATGGCTCTATCGAGTGAGAGGCCTTTATGTATTATGGTCTGTGTTCGCTTATGAACATTTATGCACCACTTTCTCATGGGCAAACCTTTATTATCTTTTGGTTTAAAAAAACTTTTTGGGCTGATACGAAGACGAAGATATGCAAAGAATTAACTTTTATAATAAAACTTCAACTCACACATCTCGTTGTACTCCGTGAGAGTTTTGTTCAGGTTGACTGCCAAGTTCCTGAGGTCAGTGTACTTGGTGATGGTCAGCCTGTTGATGTCCTCCAACAAGTTGTAGTGTTCCTGACAATAATTATTAATTAATTATTATTTAATAAATTGCTCAGGCATCATACAAATTATCAAATTTAAAAGAGAACTAAAGTATTTTTCCACTATAAGCATAAAACATTTTTTGGGAAACCATATAGCAGACAATTCATTACTTTGGTAAAAGTTACGATGCGTCTAACCTCAGCTTTAAGGAGATTACAAAGAGTACTTATTGATATTCGCGAATCCAATGCTGAAATACATAATTATATTTAGATCATGAACCCTGTGAACTGATTTACAAGTATTTTTCGCTTCAACTGATATTCTACAGTCATGGCTAAACATTTAATTCCGTACCTGTCCAGCAGACATTTCTCCTTGCAAGTAGTCATTGGTGCGCTTGAACAGCTGCGTTGCAAGCCGACTGATGATGGGGTCGTGTGGGTCCAAGACTTCAAAGCTCGAACAACTTGGCGACATTTGTATCTCTGGAAAAACACATAATAACATTTTCAAAAAATGCTAAATTACTTCTAAATGAACTTAACTTTTAAAAAATTACATATAAACATTTCTTTTATTATTATTTACCAAGTCAATATATTAACATTGTATTTTATACCATAGTAAGTGATCAGATATGGCATTACGAATTAGAAGAAAATGAATACTGATTTTGTATGCCTTTATGAACAAAATTAAAGACAAATAATTAAGCTCTCCATCAATATCATCCAGTAGCACTGGTACATACTATTAGAATTTTTATCCCTGTGACACAACCAATTGTGCCATTCAAAATTTAATTTTTAATCAAATATATTCAGCTAGCTTATGCCCGTGGCTTCACCCGCATAAAATTTCATTTGTCACAGATTGTCATAAATTATAGCATATATTTGTCACCATAATATTGTGAATTCCGTCAGATTATAATCTAACGTAGTTAAATTACAATCTAACCTAACCTAACACTGTTAGTTTACAATCTCACGAGTTACCTATATTATAAACTGACGAAGTTCACAATTTCGCGTTCACATATTCATTTTTAAAGACCTATATGTATAAACATATTATTTTTGAGTATGTTTAAGGTATGTATTGAGTCTACAAGTTTTGTTTACGTGTAAGTTTGTCATTAACACCATTACCAGCACTTTGTAAGTAGGTACCTAAATACCTAAATAAAAGTAAATACCTAGGAGCAAACTATTCAAGCAAAGGATTCTTCAACCATACGATGGGTTTTATCTACCTTTGGTCCTCACCTCCCTCGTCCATTTTTCCACTTCGTCTTCAGACATTTTCTGTCAATAGCTTGAGGGTTTGTGACTGCGTAAGCTGTTTACTGTATGGAAAATATTCGGCCAAAACTTTGTTTCTAATGTCTGCACGCACACTCAATCAACAAAAGCTGAAGAAGAGAAATTCAGAAATTGATTTTTTTTTTTTTTTCATTTTGACAACATCATCTGTCAGTGTCACTACTACACTGAACTGTCCTTTATTTGACACTGACAGGAGGCCACCGTCAATAGCGGATCGCTAGTTCCGATTTTTGCCACGGTGGAAACCATGTATAGTTCCAAAATACTGGACTGTCCTGTCGATGACATTGACAGTGGGGCGCCACCGTCAATACCGGATCGCTGGTTCAGATTTTTGCCATGTTGGAAACCATATAGTTGAACGATGGTAGCGCCCCCCTGTCATTGAGTTTGGTGGGACAGTTCAGCGTGGGTCATCTATAGTTAAATGAAGATAGTGGCGCCCTTCTGTCAATGTCGTCGGTGGGATATTTCAGTGTAGTTCATCTATACTAACCACAGACATGAAGCTAAAGATAAAAATGGAGGCCAGACTTGGAACAAAAACTTGAGTCAAATACCTACTTATCTCTATGTCGCTCTCTGTGGGCCGACCTCTCTTTTTAGTGTGGACTGTATATAGTATTGCTATCTCCTGATTTAAATCTCCTAGTAAATTCTTCGAAATTGCCAATTCACTAACCAAATCAGAAGTTAAACCATGATGGGCCGGATTGGGCCGATGTTGCCACATGGTACCGATTCCCCAGGAATTGGGATTGTAATTCCCTGATTCGCCAACACATTAAACCTAAACGGCCGACAATTTTGTGATTTTTAATTCAACTAGGTAATCGTATTTCAAATATTTAATTATTTATTTAACTTCTGATTTGGTTAGTGAATTGGCAATTTCGAAGAATTTACTAGGAGATTTAAATCAGGAGATAGCAATACTATATACAGTCCACACTAAAAAGAGAGGTCGGCCCACAGAGAGCGACATAGAGATAAGTAGGTATTTGACTCAAGTTTTTGTTCCAAGTTTGCCCTCCATTTTTATCTTTAGCTTCATGGGTATTCGGAGTGTGGCCTCCATTTTTATCTATAGCTTCATGACCACAGATTACAGTGTCATTAACTAGTGATGCTCCACGACACGACAGACATGAAACTTTTATCTAGAGATAATTTTTATCGATATTTTCGATGAACATTGCAAACTTAAGCCGGTTCTCCAACGCGTGTTTTACAAAATTTTATTATATAGTTCCAAAATACTGAACTGTCCTATGGATGACATTGACAGCGGGGCGCCACCGTCAATACCGGATCGCTGGTTCAGATTTTTGCCATGTTTGAAACCATATAATAATAATAATAATAACAACCAGTTCCGAGAATCTTTAAGAAGAAAATATAAATAATAATAATAACACCGAAGAAATTTTCTTTCTTCGAGGTTTAATAAAACTTAACAATAAATAATAATAATATGACGATGGTAGAGCCCCCCTGTCATTGAGTTTGGTGGGACAGTTCAGCGTGGGTCATCTATAGTCTTTTTAACCGAGATTCCTGTGAGAGTCAAATTTTGACAAATTTTTCGGTGTCATAATACTGTAGATGGAAAATTTTACTCGAAGAAAATATTCCTTTATTTTTTAATTTTAATAGAACTTCATTCAAAGGTTCATTCAAAGGTGGTCCTCCTACCCTACTCGTAGTAGTACCAAAAACTCCCATTAAAATCTTTATGAAACACTTTTAACATAAAAATGATGTTTTTTTTTAATTTTTCATAAAAAAACTAGACCGGTTTTGTTTTGTTTTGTAAATTTAAAAAGAAGCATAATTTCTTACTTTATTTTTTATGTTTCAAGTGTTTCTGAGAGATTTAAATAGGAGCTTTTGGTAAACTTTTTGATGTCAACTTTGCTAAATAAATGAATCCATCCGGACTCAGAAAACTAAAATAGCTATAATTTTTAATAGTAGGGATAAAATTAATGTTTTATTCCAGTGGATTTGTCAAAAACATTGATCATATTACTGCGCCCTAACGTGTCGGACACTGGTGACCGGAGATACTGTATAGTATATAATATATTTTAGTATGTTATTTAATAGTATTCGATTCTATTCGATAGCTTTGTATGAATGTACACGCAGCTTTAATTAAATATTATTGCATTGTGTTGCCATTATCCGTTAACCCTTTAGCTCGCCGCGAACACAAACACTACACTTGAACAGCGGCGAATATAGTTCCAAAATACTGGACTGTCCTGTCGATGACATTGACAGTGGGGCGCCACCGTCAATACCGGATCGCTGGTTCAGATTTTTGCCATGTTGGAAACCATATAGTTGAACGATGGTAGCGCCCCCCTGTCATTGAGTTTGGCGGGACAGTTCAGCGTGGGTCATCATCTATAGATGTGGAAGAAACGTGTGGGGCAGTGTGGAACCGTTGCTTCGTTCGTTCGTTCGTTCGCTGTCCGCTCAACTTAAACCGTGCTCGTCATTTGAGTGACTTGTAATTTGTACGCGAAACTAAGTTAGTTTTTGTTCAAAGACAGTGCTATGGATATCTTTCGTGTGAAAATGAAGATGAAATCGTTGCAGGTCGCAGTTATTTTGCTAGTTTATTTTAGCTTCAGCTCAGAAGGTGAGTTTAACCCACACGCATTAAAAACAAAGTATCGTTTTCCCAGAGACAGTCTTGGAAGTTGAGCCCTATTAAAACTTGGCTTTTACTCGGCGATGACGTAGGATCGTGAGATGTGTATGAAGAAATAATCAGTTTAACAATTAGCGTGGACTTAAGGCTGTTGTTCGAGTTTTCTCGAAGCCTAGCAACCTTACAAAATATTTCTAGGTCACGACTTGTTTTCTATAAAAAATTCTAAGTACTATCTGTAAGTAAATATGTTTTGGCTAGAGTACCACGAATCGCGCCACATACCTTGCACATTGCTTGCTCTTTTGTTTGCACAGCCTTCGTATCTGTAAAAGTCGTTATGGAATATTTCATAATTATTAGATTACCCCATTTTCTAGTATAAGTTCAAAACTAGTTATTTTGCAACTCAGTTTGTGAACTTTACATTTACCTCTAGGTGTAGTAAACATCTGTTACTTACTAAAGATGGTTCTAGATCCTATGATATTCAGATAATATAAGAAACATCTGTTTTATTCAAATTGTGTGTTCATCTTGCAGTTAAATTAAAAGTCAAAGTCATGCAAGGCAACTTTTTTAAAGTTTTAAACTAGTTTTAGTAATTCTCCAACTTATTGATATGATTCATTGATTTTTAATGCAATTCTTGGAATAGTGGAATACACATTCATAATGTGATTAACTGTGGTAAATTGCTGTGTGATTTTTCAATCATTTCCACATCTGGGTGTAAATTAAACACTACAGTATTTTTTTTTAGTGATTGTCTGTAGTTAGTATATTTCTTACATTATTTATTAACAGAAAAAAATAATTGCAACAAAGAATTAACTAAGACACCTATGTTAAAACTTTATGCCTTTATAACACACTATTTTTGATATGATTTTATCATTGTTTCGTGACACGGTGACAATCACTTCACCGCATTATCCTATCTTATCAAGGGTTATGTACTCCTACTAACATTTAACCCCATGCCCTTAGTGTTCGTAGAAATCATGTCATGACAGTTTCTCTTAAGTAAACATAATTCATTCATTATGAATCATCTGTGTTAGTTAACATGGCAATAAAAAAATAATGGAAAGAATATAATGAAAAGCATAAACTTACAAGCCTTAGAGGTGCAAGAGAAAATGATAAAGTTTTATTTCTCAAGAACTAAGTTTAATAGATGATAAACTCATTAATAATAGGTACCTTATCCTTAGACATTTTATATTTAATTTTTCATTGTATTCATTCATTTAAACTAATTTTAATAATGAATCTGAACATTCTAATCAGCTGGCATAACTTAATATCAAACTGCACCCACATTTTCTGTGAGCTGACATAAACATTAGCTGTAAAAATGTCCATCTAACTTACGCTGCTTCATTGATATTTAAATTATCTTTACGAGGGGTTGAGTCGATCATTCATTGGTTTAGTTAGATATGATGTCCGAAATATTGTCCAAAACGACCATCATCATATTTCATGATATAATCATAGTATTATAATGAAGGAAAGAGTATTTTACCCTTTTATCTTAGTTGTGGTAATTTAAATGATCCTTGATACTAATATTCTGTAAGACTAGTCTGGCCTGTTTTTAAAGTTAGTTTCTATTCATCTAATTTGTATAATCGTGGTCCTATAAATTTTTAAGCATTAATGGCTTAATGGTTTTTCACGATGTTCGTATATTTTACGGTATGACAAATCATTGGCTTCTCTCAGATACGTAATATTACGAAACTTCTCGTAAATTTCGTAAATCAATGAATTTGTGAAAAGCCGTGTAAAATCAGGTTTTAAAGATTAGCCTATTAGACACGCGCGGCGACTTTCCTAGACTAGAAAATAAATCTAGATCGGATTTCCATTAATTACTTAATTATTCGCCGCTAATACATATTGCAGCCGCTAAAACAGCTTTTAATGCTTTTTAGTTGTTTAAATTGGATTTTGTGTTATGAGGTCCAAGACAGCAAAATTACTCCAAATAGGTCATCTTTTCTCTATTATTTAAAGACTAATTTTATCAAGTATCAAGGAACTTCCCTGTTCCCACGTTCTGCTACAGAAGGGAACAGAACACGCCCATTTTTCATTAGAATAGAAAGTATTTATAGTTTTTTTTTATACTAATAGGAAACGATCTAAATGATGCACTATGTAGACTCAAACACAATAAAATGAATACATAAATGCAAAAATAATTTTTTTTCATCTAAGATTGATGCCATTGGTGCAGGCGGTTGTGGTTTCTACTGTCTCAGCTTTTGATGCTTTCCCGCCTTTTCATTGATCACTGCGCCATCAATGACTATCGGCACCTCGACAACATTGAATTCGTTGATAGGATTTGACGTAGGCAAGCCAATTTAGAAAATATAACCTTGTACTATCATTGAAATCGTCACGCTATCTTTCGTTTTAGTTTTACAATGCTTGAAACCAATATCCCAATATCTTCTGTTTTCTAGAACAATTGTTCGAGTCTGTCCAACGGGGTTCGTCGAGATGGCGAGAATTTAACATTGAATTCGGTTACAAACACGACCGTTTGTTTTAATTATTATAATCTAGCTATAAAAGATAAGACTAATGAAACGGTTACTGAAGGTCAGGCTTGCAATCAGACTCAGTTATAACTAAAGCTCATAATTACATTTTGTTACACAAATCGTGTTTTTGGATCGAAAGGCTATGCAGTTCCCGTGACAGTAGTGTTTATTTACTGAAAGGATCATAGTATAGTCAGATAACTATTTTTGCTCCCTTTATTGATGACGACGAGCATCCATTGTACTTTACCGGAACGGAACCCTAGTTGGTTGGTAATCTTCATCAAGTTTTTCATTTTAACTAGCTAGTAAGCATGTACTTACTGGATAACTATCAATTAACCCATCCAGTCCGCTTAGAACATTGTTTCCGAATGGGTAATAGCTTCGTTAACACGTCACATGCTCACAGCTCTTAATTATTGTGGTTGGGTTACCGCTCTATACATGCCATGTGCAGGCAGCACATCAACCTAAACCCAGTGTTGTCTTACCCCTTTGCAATACGGGCTATTTTGCAACAAAAATGTGTATAGTCAGATGTGTCTGTACATAATGTGTTCTCGGAACTACGCCCGTGACAATGCGTTGTTACGAAATGTTGGGCCCTTGTGTATCAAAACATAAATGGTTACGCATTGATGAGGCTACGCACCAATTGTCGTATTGACTGGCCTTTGTTCCCTATTTTACTCAGGAATGAAGATACACGCATCAAATCTAAAATAACTCAAAGGTGACTGACTGACATAGTGATCTATCAACGCATAGCCCAAACCACTGGACGGATCTGGCTGAAATTTGGCATACAGGTGGCTGTTATGACGTAGGCATCCGCTAAGAAAGGATTTTACGAAACTCCACCACTAAGGGGGTAAAACGGGATCCACGCGCACGAAGTCTTTTATAATTATGTAGTTGTGTAGGCAGAGGATTTAACTCTCGGGCACTAAAAGAACAAACTACAGCTCTTATCTATGGACTTTTAAGGTAATTATGTAATTAAGCTAACTAAGAACTGATAAAGAACTGTCATAGAGATACTTCATGATGTTATACTGCCTCGCATTGCAATCTAGTTTTATTCTCAGATCATAGAATGATCTGAGGTTTTATTCAACGGGGATGTAGTCAGACCTATATTAATATTACTCATCAACAGCCCTTTACAGTCCACTGCTGGACTATGAGCCTCCTCCACTATAGTGGAGGGTTTTGCCATAATCTCCACGCTTAGCAGGCGGGTTGGAGATCGCAGTTTAAAAGATTGATGTTTTTCAGAGAGCGCTGCTGCCCATTCTCTGTTTGATGTGTAGTAGTCCCTAAGTCGCATCTTACGACACCCGCGGGAAGAGTAGGGGTTGGTGACAAATGTATTCTACTCTGCCGTCACCACACGGCGATTAATATTACTAATGTTAGTCTTTTCGTTTGCGCGGACTATATTTTCTGCGGGTTATCGTACTTCCCATCAATATGGAACGAAAACAAGATCACTAAAACAAAAATTCCACTGCAATCTATGTCAGACGACAGACTCCTCGTCGGATGTAGCAGCATGAAGCCAACCATGCATAGCATCATCACAAATTTAGAAAGCATTCACATCAGAATCTGTCACCGTTATAACATGGCGAAAACTTAATTGGAATCGAAATCTAGTTTGACTGGTCTACATTTTAGATCTCATGATTATGTTGGTTAAAGTAGCTATTTGAGTCGAGCGCCAATGCCCAGTCAAGGTATGGTAGTCCCTGCCTGTTTATATGAATTCATACGCCCGTATTCACAAACTATGCTTGGTTAAGTGAAGCAGCAAATCGAACGCACAGCGCTTTGCAGTTGCTTCTCGACACTCTAGCAGCGGTATAGTTGTTCCGGGGCGGTGAGCAAAGTAAATCTGAGACATGAATAGTGCTTTATATTCGTGCTTGTTATAGAGTCTTAAGGCTTTCCGACTTATTTTCCTTATGGGCTTTACGCCAAGAGCATCCGTCTGGTTCGACCTTTAAGGTGGTTACTTAAACCGCGACATTACAAGTTCATAAAAATAAAACAACATAATGGAGACGGTTTCGTTCGATATCTTTACGACCTTAACATACGCATTACATACATACGTTTGAAAACTAAGTATCGAAACCAGTATCACCAGTATTGCAATAAAGACAAAAAGTCCAGTCTGGGGGACGCATCTAGAAAAGTACAAAGAATTTTCAGTTCATTATTTCCCAAACTTAGCTTCACAATAACAAAGCTTTTGTCCCAAATTTTACCAGGATTATACATGTATCGGATACCTTAAATTTATCTGTAATAATGACCATCTATTTTCTTTCAGATATAGATAACTTATCGGTACCCCCAAAGAAAAGAATCTCGTACTTATCGAACTTGTACATACCTCCACTTATCAGTAGCAAATCG